CATGCCAGTGCAAGTAGATAAATAGGTACCGCTGCGGTGGGAAGGTAAATAGTGTTTCCGTGTGCTCTGGCTTCCGTCACAGTGTCCCACTGCACCAGAAGCGGTTTAGTCATGCTGGTCACATGACCCGGACACTGTCTGCGGACAAACGCCAGCTCCCTCAGCCTGAAAGCGAGATGAGCACCGCAACCCCATAGCCGCCTTTATTGAATTTATATCCTGCCTTCCTCCCAAAGGATCTCAGGGTTCCTTTTTTTGGGGGGGGTGGTGGATAACACCAGAGATGTTTCTTACCATTTATTTGAGGTGTGTGGTTTTTGTGTGGCAAATGTCTTTTACCCCCACAATGCTGGGACCATGCTGTATCCAAGGCCAGGCATAGGCAAACTCGGCCCTCCAGATATTTTGAGACTACAATTCCCATCATCCCTGACCACTGGTCCTGTTAGCAAGGGATCATGGGAGTTGTAGTCCCAAAACATCTGGCGGGCCAAGTTTGCCTATGCCTGTCCAAGGCATTACAAAGAAAACCATGTCCATGCTATTGCAGGGGCTACTCTGCTGCTGACTTTATATAAAGAAGGAAACTGGCAGTACATCTAAGGGGGTGTTGCCCTAACCTGATCACAAATTTTAAGCTTTCTCCATGAATAAAAACAGAAAATCAAGCAGCAGCCCCCATTGCAGTGGCGGTGCTGAACTTTCCTACCTCTCAAATTTGAGTGGAAATTTCTGCTGCTCAGAGCCCAAAGGGATGTTTATTTTCATTGACAATGCTTATGCCTAAAACAGCTAGGTGCATTATAAGCATTAAAAAATAAGACAGCCCACAGGCTTGCAATCTAATCAAAGACAGGATGTGTTGGGGAGGAAAGGGAATACGCCTGGAGGAAATACAACAAGCCCCATGTTAGATTAATGGGAATGAACAAATACCTGCTGATAGAGAGCAGTGATAAGAATCAAGCTTCTCCCAAGCTATCAGTGTTGGACTGAGTTTGGAAGGGGCCGCCTTACACTCCTACGCCATCTAGACCATTATTCATCTCGCTGCTTCTCTGCAGTTGCTGCATCTTTCGATATGATAATTTCTTTTTGTCACCCTGGAAAGGTTGACAGGAGATTCCTGCCCACGCAGTAGCATGCCTTCCCCCCCCCCCCGTGCCTCCGTGAAAAATGGATTCCACCATAGATTTCTTCCAAATAATTTCATTCTATTACTAGCTCAATGCACATTCCATTCAATTTGCAGTTTTCTCCTACTTTGTCATAAAGATCATTTTCTGCTCTCTTAAGCCTTGGATTCCCCCCCGTCTCAGGCTGACACCCACTATTGTGGGAAATGGAACTAGTAAACCATGGAGGCATCTGCTGAATGAATGCTGAATGCTGTTTAAAGATGCCAAAAGCATGTTCCTATTCCTGCCTTCTCCTCTGAACACACATCCATACAGATAACAGAGAAAAAGAGGTGCCAGAACTCACCATGAATGCCTCCCTTGTTCTCTTATATTGGCAATGCCAGAATTCCGGTGAGTTCCAGCTGGAAAAAACCAAAACCCTGGGTTTACCACCTCCATGGGAATTAGCCATCTGAAGGCAGCCATGTATAGGGGAGGTTTTTAAAATGTTTGATGTTTTATTATGCTTTTACATTTGTTGGAAGCCATTTTGAGTGGTTGGGGCAACCCAGCCAGATGGATGGGGGTTTAAAAAACGATGTTGTTGTTTGTTAGGATATTGTTCTGTTCCACCTTTAGAACAGGCATGTGGAGTTGTATGTCACATGTCTGTTTACTTCTAGCACAGCCTGCTGGGAACTTCCGTTGTATATAGCCTTTGTTTATGCTGTTTTTGCTTGGACACGAAGGGAAGCAGACATGTTTTCCTTTGTCCTGATGCTGAATAAAATGTTTGTAAATATGCTTACATATGCCTCTGTCGGCCCTTCCGTTGCAAAGAGTTCTTATCTCTGCTGGCTTGCGTGCTCAGTCTCTAAAGGTTTCTGAGGCTTGAGTCGCAGTTTTGATGCTGTTCTGAGAACCGGAGTTCACCCGGATGCCGGCCGGTGGGCTGGGGGCCTGCCACTTGCCCCCGTCTCCCTGTACGCATCCCAACATTCTTATGGACTAGGATGTCTCTATTTTCATCGCAGAAATGTTGGGGGGTATGAAATCATGCCAGAAGGAAGCAGCCCTTCAGACCTATAACATCTTTTTAAATGTGTTGGGGTTTTTTGTTTGTTTGTTTTGATTATGTATTTTGTGTTTTTATATTGTGATTTTATCACATAAACCTCCCTGAGATCTGCAGGTATAGAGCAGTATACAAATTTAATTGATTGATTGATAATATCTGGCCAGTTATTAGAAGCTGTGCGGAAAATCTTCACAAGTAAAGTGGTTTCCCAAATGCTCTATGGAGTAGTGATATGGGGCACGGACCCAAATGCTAATAAAGCCTTAGAAATAGTGCAGAACAAATTTCTCAGGAAAGTGCTCTCTCTCTCCAACAGGACCCCAGCTGCTCTTATCCGCGTTGAAGTGGACGTGTCAACAATACAGGCTAGAATTGACTATCTGTATCTAAACTATGTGAAAAGACACCAATCTCTCTCAGAGAGATTCCCCGCTATGTCCCACACTGAACGGGAAGAGACCAAATGCTGGAAGGCAGGCATCCAAAGCCTCTTGTCCCAATATCAATCACAAGATCTTCAGGTGACCATGAAGATGGCTAGGAGGCACCTAAGAGATTGTCTCTTTAGGTCCGATACAGAAAGGAATTTATCCACGATTACCTCTACCCAAAGTTCACCGTGGTTCCCACATATTAAAACGGAGCACACCCGAGCTAGATATCTGACAAAGCTCCCACTTCCTGTACTAAGAATTGCTTTTACAGAATTACGATTCCAATCAATGCCCTTGGTGGTGTTGGATGGTCGGTACGGCAAAGTACAGTACGAGGAGAGACTTTGTATATGTGGGCAACCCTGTGTAGAGGATCTGGACCATTATTTATTGCAATGCCCGCTATACATAGATCCAAGAGGCTGATTTATAAAACCCACTGCTTACAAATGGAATACACTCAAACAGGGTGGAAAGGGCGAAATGGCTGCTGAGCAATACTGATGACTTTGTAACTTACAAAGTAGCACTATATGTGTTGGCAGCTAAGAAGATCAGGACAAAAGAGCAAGATAAAATAGCAGTCAACTGCAAAGGGGATTTGGACATTTAAGCTGGCATACAGTGGTACCTCGGGATGCGAACGGGATCCGTTCCAGAGCCCTGTTCGCATCCTGAAGCAAACGCAACCCATGTCTGCGCGTCTGCGCGTCTGCGCGGGTCGCGATTCGCCGCTTCCGTGCATGCACGTGATGTCATTTTGAGCGTCTGTGCATGTGCGAGTGGCAAAACCCAGAAGTAACGCGTTCCGTTACTTCCGGGTCGCCGCGGAGCGTAATCTGAAAACGCTCAACCTGAAGCTACTTCAACCCGAGGTATGACTGTATTTTACCTGAGATTTCCCTGCTGTTCTAGTTTATGCAACAAATAATCTCTTGGAGATTTGACGGTGGTTTATTGCAACGGTAATGCTAAATGTTTTTTTTTAAAATGTTTTTATGCTCATTGCTGTTTTTCCTTTTGTTCCCCTTGTGAATGATGCCATGGCCTTTGGCTAGTGCAATAAAGTTTATATTGGTGATGAATAATATCAGGGTGGGTGTTAGCCTCAGGTTTTATTCTGAGGGTCACACTTCATTCCTGGCAAGCTTTTAAGGGTCACGTATAGGGGCGCCATCTACAGGGGGATCGTGGGGGCCAGGGCCCCCCAAATAGTTTCAAGAAGGGGGCCAGTCCCCCCAAAATTCTGCAAGTGATCCTCAAAAATGCTTGGCCCTGCCGTGTCCCTTTTGAGGACCACCGGGGACATAGCAGGGCTAAGCATCTTCACCCCATACGTCCTTTTCCCAAAGGTAAGGCGGCTGGCTGTGGATGGGTGGGGGATGGTGGGCCAAGTCAGCCTGGCCGGGTTGTGGGGGGGCATCACACGTATGACATCATGCACATGCGACATGTTAAGTTGTGGGTGAACATATCAGACGACACAGTGATTCTTCAAACAGCTCTTATTTATTCACAGGCCAGAACAGAACTGGACTGAAGGGTTCAGCCAGCCTGCTTATATAGAGCTCCAGTACAACGCAACTGTAACAACTTTCTGTAACTATCCAATCACTGAACGTCACTTTCAATCCCTTATTTGCATATGTGGACCTAAGTGAAAACTATCTACAGTATCCCCCTGCTGGCGCAGGGTGAGAACTTCAGTACATAACATGACAGGCCGCCTCAATGCTCAGCACAACTTGGCACCTATGGCCACATGCCCGAAAGGAGCGAAGCCAGAGGCAGAAGGAAGCAAACCAATGAATGTAAATGATACCTTTTAAGAGTAGGCTATTTTCTACACATATTCATATGCACTTTCTGTTCAGTCAAGCAAGTTCAAGGGCACATTCCAGGCAGGTGCAAACCCACAAGGAGGGTGAAAAACAGAGCCAGGGGAAGATGTGGCCTGGAGGACGTGGAAGTGTCCCAAGGAGAAAACAGAGAAGCCTGGAAGGTCACATCTAACCCAAAGCCTGAAGTTTCCTACCCCATCATAGAACTCAGGTTGAAAGTGCTTTCCTCCTCATTGTAGGCACAGAAATTAATAGACAGTATACAAACTTGTTTTTATACGCAACTACAGCAGTGAGAGTACTATTAGCCCAACGATGGAAACAGGAAGAATTACCAATGAAGGAGGAGTGGCAAATAAAACTGATGGAGTATGCAGAAGGTGACTGGGAGAATTCGGAACCAGAAAGACGAGGACTTCCTTAAGGATTGGAAGAAATATATGATTTATTTGAAAGACAATTGCATTAATGTAACATCGCTTGTAGGTTTACAGGAAGTTTTGTAAGGAGGACTATATAAATTATTGCAAAATGATTTAGGAAGGAAATAATTAGGAAACGAAGTTTAAAAGCATTCATTATAATAATAAAATGCAAGATCAGATAACAAACTTGAAAATCACTAGACAGGATTGACAGAAATCTCAGGCTATAATAGCCAAAATGAGGATGGTGTGATGCGATGTGAAAATTTGTTTGGAAAACATATGCAAAAACTAATAAAAATGATTTTTTAAAAAGGGGAAAAAAGAAAGTGCTTTCCTCACTCCTGCCCACCGGATCTAAGATATCCTGGAAATTGCATTCCTTTGCTTCTCTTTTCAGCCTAGGCTCCCATTTCCTTGAAAAGCCAATTCAATCTGCTTGGGGACTGTTTTTGCTCATAGTGATAAACTTCCCCTGAGCAATATTCACACCTACCTTGGGATTGTTCTCCATTATGAACATCCCATAGGATAAGCTCTGTGGAGGAAACTCATGAGATTCGAAAATAGCCAATTGCACGCGCTGATTTTGAACACAGGGCAGTGCACTAATTAAAATCTAGAGAGAAAAGGGAAATCACTTTGTAGTCTTCCCCTAGACTCCAGAAATAGCAGACATGCATTGACAGTGATCTCCGCAATAAAGTTTAAATCACACACTGGGTATGTTCAATTTTGCCTAGTGCTGCTCCTCCCATTTTCAAGCTTTCTGAAACTCACCAGTGGCCTCCGATAGCATCTAAATAAAAGCATAGCCAATTTCACCAGGAGCTCTTTATCTCCCCCCCTCCTTCCCCCAAATCTAGTATTATCTCATTGGAATGCAAATTGCAAAATGCAAATGAACACATCAAGCATCCTAAACTCCCCGATCAGAAGGGACTCATAGAGCCCTCAATTTCGCCAGCTTTTCATTTGCACTCTATTTACATACAGAGACACGACTGTGCTCCTTTGCTACATCGACATCCTCCACCTAAAGCAGCAGTACTTGAAAGGGAAGAGAGGGAGGGATTATATACTTGTACATATACACAGACAGAAACTCATTGCAAAATAATGTCTGAATTATGGAGTTAGACATTTCCTGGTACACTGAAAGCTGTATGGAAAAACCCCCGGAGAATGGAGGGAGACTGTCACAATTTTGCTCACACCTTCCAATGCAGCAGTACAGTTCAAGTACCTTTGCATTATCACACAACAGGATTTGAACTTCTTGTGACTTTTACTGCCGTTCCTTTTGTGTGCATCGGAGTGTTTCATTTCTTTCCCTGCACCCCCTCCCGTTTCACGGTGTTTGCTTGCGCGCACCGATTGTGGTTGGGTTTTTTCTTTTGCCGCCTGCCGCTGAACACCTAATTTACCCACAAGACAAGAAAGCTTATTTGTGGAGATGATGGGAAGCCTTTTTTCGCCCAATTGCAGATCACAGGCCACTCAAGACAAATGCTGCGTGCGCAGAACGAAATGAATAATGCTTCCTGAAAGGCGGGAGTCAGCCATTTCAGGCTGAGCGAAGGAGAAGTCACCAGGGGAAGTCATGATTAATATGACCCTCTGCCGTTGTTTGTTTACCAAGCCTCAACCTAACGACGAATCCTTTCTTTCCATTTTCAGAAAGGAAGGCAAAGTTGCCTTCAAGCAACAATGGTTCTAAAGAGAAACACATTTTCTTGAAAAGCCTTCCGACAAACTCTCATCTCAAATGTTTGAAGTCACCAAAGCAACGATCAAGTCGAGCAGAACCAAAAGGGGGTTTACTAGGACTGGGCACAGGCCCCTCCATTCTGCCCTGTGGCCCTGAGATGTGGCCCTATGGCAACCCAGGGATCACTTCCCCTGCCCTGGATTCATCTCCCAAGCAATTGAGGGCTGGGGCTAGCGGTTCTCCAAAACATGGATAGGAGGGAGTGGGGGAAAGGATTAAATGCTGTGTCTTTTCCCTGTCCCAACTGAGAGCAGGCAGGCAGGTTCCAGAGAAGGAGCAGCATGCAGGAAAGCAAAGGAGAAGCAGCCAGAACCGCACAGGAATCAAATCCTCCTGCTTATTAGCTGTTCTCCCTCCACTGTGGAATTCTGTATGCTTTTGAACACCATTTCCGGGAAGCACAAGTGCAGACAGGGCTGTTGCACTTGAGTCCTGCATCTGAGCTTCCTGTAGGCATCCAGTCAGGGGTGGAGGAAGGAGGGTGTGGTGGGGATGGCTCTCCCCAGGTGTCACCATGGGGGGGGTTGACAAAATGCCAGGCAGCACTCAGCGTGCCTGAGCCACACATCTCTCCTGGGAGTGAAGTGGTGGCTTGGGCGCCCGCAGGCTCACGCTGCCCTAAACGGTCCGCCCGCTACCTCCCCCCAGCTGTAGGACAGCCAAGTGGGAGGAGGGAAGCAGACTCTTCGTAGGCCTCATGGAGCATCCTGTCCCAGCTGGCTCCACCCCACGGACGGCTGGCCCTGCCCCTGGGCGCAGGGCACGCGTACCGCCCTAGGTGCCCGATCGGCTTGTTCCGCCGCTGCATGCAGTTGGCCAATGTGAGAAGAGGATGGTGGACTTGATGGGGCATTGGCCTGATCCAGACAGGTGCTCTTTAAGTTCTTGATTCAATGAGCTGGTGCTGACCTGTGAAGTACTAAATGGCTTGGGACCCAAATACCCAGCAAATCACATCTCCCTTTCTCATCCTGCCCATGTCTTATGACCTTCAGAGGAGGCTCATCTCTGCTTCCTGCTGTCAGGTTATACGGTGACACAAGGAGAGACCTCTTTGCCCTGGAGTCCTGCATAGGGGACACTCCCCCATTTGAAATGCAGTTGAAGCCAACACTTTACATCAGTTGGGTGCCAAGCCAAGAATTATCTCTTTGCCCACACATTTCCTTTCCTTTTCTTTTTATAGAAGCTTATTAAATTAGCAGCGGGACGCGGGTGGCGCTGTGGGTTAAACTGCAGAGCCTAGGGCTTGCCGATCAGAAGGTTGGTGGTTCGAATCTCCACGATGGGGTGAGCTCCCATTCCTTGGTCCCTGCTCCTGCCAAACTAGCAGTTCGAAAGCACATCAAAATGCAAGTAGATGAATAGGTACCGCTCTGGCAGAAAGGTAAACGGCGTTTCCATGCACTGCTCTGGTTCGCCAGAAGTGGCTTAGTCATGCTAGCCACATGACCCAAAAGCTGTCTGGGGACAAACGCCGGCTCCCTTGGCCTATAGAGCGTGATGAGTGCACAATCCCAGAGTTGTCCGCAACTGGACCTAACGGTCAGGGGTACCTTTACCTTTATTAAATTGGCATTGGGTTAGTCCTGCTTTATGGTTTAAGCTGCTCCTGCTGTTTACCTGCTCCTATTGTACAGAAGGTATTTTATGGTTTTATTCTTATGCATTATGTGATTTTATATATTTTAATGCGTTGTATCTCACGCTGCTGTCTGACCAGATAAAAGGTGGGATATAAATACTTTATTTAATTACAAAATGGTTCCCAGGCTTCCAACATGGTTGGCACAGTTCTTATTTGTGGCAGCCACACACAAAAGCTCATAAGAAAAATGAAGGAAGTTGTGTTATGACCACTGCTGGTGATGCTCCTCACACCCAGGAAATGTGGTGAAATGGCCTCCCTTCTCTGGGTACAAACAGAGTGAAGGAAAATTCTAATCCTACTGGTGTCGTAAAGGAAATTAAAAGTATATTTTTGTTTTAGCTATGGAAGAAGAGCTAACACTTTTCTATTAAGATCTTCCTGGGAGACATACAGTGTCAATATTCCAAAAGGTAATCTATGACAATTGGTTTTAAAACTGCTGAGTTTCGTACTGTGAGAGCATTATCGCTATCAGTGTGTGTTTGGGGCAAATTAATAACCTGCTGTTGTTTGCTGATGTGTTTCAATATTCAATAATTAAAAAGCCCTAAGTAAATAGTATTTACCAAACTCTATTGTTTTGTTACAATGAATAATGGTCTCATTGTTAACATCTTAATCTTTTGAATTACTGTGTAATGACAAGAACTAAATTATTTACAAAGAGCAGAACACTTGCTGTATTATAAACATACTGTTGTCATAGGAGGGCTGGGTTCTGGTGTATTAACGTTTACCATTTTGACAGACCCGCTGTATTCCACCTTGCTCAGACCACACATGGAGTACTGTGTCCAGTTGTGGGCACAACAATTTAAGAAGGATATTGATATGTTGGAACATGTGTAGAGGAGGGCAACCAAGATGATCAAGGGTCTGGAAATCAAGCCATATAATGAACGGTTAAGGGAATTGGATATGTTTAACCTGGAAAAAAGGGGAAACTTAGAGGAGATATGATGACTGCCGAGACCACATAACACCAGTCTTGAAAAGCCTACATTGGCTCCCAGTACATTTCTGAGCACAATTCAAAGTGTTGGTGATGACCTTTAAAGCCCTAAACGGCCTTGGTCCAGTATACCTGAAGGAGCGTCTCCACCCCCATCGTTCAACCCAGACACTGAGGTCCAGCACTGAGGGCCTTCTGGCGGTTCTCTCACTGCAAGAAGCAATGTTACAGGCAGAGGGCCTTCTTGGTAGTGGCGCCCACCCTGTGGAACACCCTCCCATCAGATGTAAAAGAAACAAACAACTACCTGACATTTAGAAGACATTTGAAGGCAGCCCTGTTTAGGAAGTTTTTAATAACTGATGTTTTAATGTATTTTTAATCTTTTGTTGGAAGCCGCCTAGAGTGGCTGGGGAAACCCAGCCGTATGGGTGGGGTATAAATAATAAATTATATTACAGTGGTACCTTGGGTTACAAACGCTTCAGGTTACAGACTCTGCTAACCCAGAAATAGTACCTCGGGTTAAGAACTTTGCTTCAGGGTGACAACAGAAATCATGTTAGCTAAAGTGGTACCTCAGGTTAAGAACAGTTTCAGGTTAAGAATGAATTAAGTTCTTAACCTGAGGTACCACTGTAGTATTGTTATTGTTTTATTGTTATTATAGCCACCTTCAAATAGCCAAAGGGCTCTCACATGGAGGTTGGAGCATGCTTGTTTTCAACTGCTCTGGAGGGTAGGACCCAAACCAACGGCTTCAAGTTACAGGAAAGGAGATTCCGACTAAACACCAAGAAGAACTGACAGTAAGAGCTGTTTGACCATGGAACACATTTCCTCAGAAGGTGGTGGACTGTCCTTCATTGGATGTTTTTAAGCAGAGCCTAGATGGCCATCTGTCACTGATGCTTAGGTTGAGAGAGGTTTGGAGGAGGACCCAAAGTTCTCCATGCCTGGCTTAGGAGATGTCACCTAATGCCAATAAAATAGGACCCTTTGTCTGCCCAAGGGCAGTTGTACAAACAGAACATTTCGTGCCTTTAGGAGGGAAATTGCCAAAGTTGATTCTATTGTGGAAAAGGTTGGGCCTCCACTGTAATAAGTGTAGTCATTACATTTTATTTTTTTAAAAAGGAGAACGAAACAGTAACAAAAGAGTAACGAAAGGAACAAGACTATGAGTGGAAGCTGAAGCCAATGGGGCTGCAGGTAGTTAAACAAAATGGTCAAATAGCACACATACTTAAAAATACTTTCCTTTCAGTAACATAGCAGTAATTGACCCAAAGTGGGGGGGGCTTCTGGTGTTCTTGCAGCTATGCTGAATTCCCCTCTCTCTTGAACCTGATGTTCTGTCTTTTTCACTGTACGGGGTCTCCTGGGAACTGTCTGCAGATAATTAGGGGATTAAAAGATAATGGCCTGTTTAGACAGCTTCCTTTCTAGGATCTGGGAGTATTATTTCAGATCTCTGGGTTGTTTCATTCATTTGAAAAAATAATAATTCCGCGCTGCTTTTCTTCCTCAGAAAGGCCCCCGAGGTGGTTCACAGCAATCAAATGCAATTTTGCAATTAAAAAAATAAAATAAATCCAAAGCACAATTACAGCCAGAGCAAGAAAGGCTATTGCCACAGAACAGAAGAAAAGAGGGCCCACGCTGCCACAGCAGAAATAAAACAATGATTGCCTCCCTCAAAGGCCTCGGGGAGGCAGCTAATGAGCCTGTAGCAGCAGCAGGGATTTCTGGGGCAAAGGTGCTATCATTCCCCATGAACACATCCCTGAATGAAAATAATCGCTCTCAGTACAATGCATGTGATTTGGATTGTGCTATTAAATATGGGTGCCCATCTACAAACTGATCTACTTCAAGAGCTTTTGTGTTGATTTCTTCAAAGTTGTCAGCAGAATAATTTCAACTGCAATTATTTGTGTGTGCTGGAAAAGTGGACACCCATTTCCAGAGTATCGGTTGCAGAAAGTTAGCTTTTCTTGTCTCTGTCGACATTCATGGTCTTGTTTCAAGATATATCCAGGAAGCTAGCATTCAATTATTTCAACATTTGCATTGAAAGTACTGCCTTTTTTTGCCAGGGGAGCTTAAATTTCCTCCCAAACCCTAAGCTGTAAGAATTTCCTTTTGTTTTCATTATTTGTTGGCATTGCAGGATCTGGCATACAGCAATATTGCTCCTGCAACCTGGGGTGGGGTCCAACAGCCTTTTATCTTTGTTGGGGTAACGGCCGGTCCTGATCCCCCAGCAACTCACCTCTCTGTTTCACCCGAAGGTGAGCACTCCTCCTGCGAGTACTGAGGTCTCTCCTTCTCTCAGACCTTAGTCTCTGCAGCTCGGGAGACGTTGGTAGGTTACTATACCCAGTGGCCGCCTCAGCCTCCCCTGACCCAACCAGTAGTGGAGCAGCTGTAAGTGATGGCCCAGCTGAAGGCAACGAGGTAATCCCCGCATCTGGAGCCAGAACAGGCTCAGGCCCCTGACTTGGCCCAGCTGGTGTTTGTTGCAGGGGAACCTGTGCAGACTGGAACTCTTCAGGGTCAGGCCCCAGACTTGGTTCAGTTGATGCCTGAGACAAAGGATCCGTTGCAGACTGAGACTCCTCTGGTTTCGAGTCTGAGCCCGAGTCCCAGGCCATCACAACTCCATGTAGAGTTGACTGGAAGAGGCTGCATGCAGAGACCAGGGAGCATGGCTGACATCTGCTCAGGACCCTAGCCTGCTGAAGCTATGAGCAGAGCCGCAAGAGACACCCTTGGGATGTAATATTCAGCACTCTCTCCATCAAAACTCAGGTGTAAATATGGGTAAATAAACCATATTTCTTAAAGACACTGCAGACTCTGCTGTGCCTTGTTTCAAAGGAACGCACAGCCTGGTTGAGTGCCAGGATCCCTGAAATCTCATGCACTTCTCAGCAGAGCTTGGGGTGGCTGGTAACAATATTGTAAATCTGGAGATACTTTTCAACACTGCTGAACATCACGATGTGTGAGATCTACTGTCCCATGGTTGTTCCCATGCAGCTACGTGGCTACATCCCAATGAGTGATACACAATCCACTCTAACCATACTGGGCATGAGAAGAGTCACGTGGAAACAGTCTCAGGATAATGGCAACCACAGCGTTATGATAATGTTTCAATGGGACCAAAGATTCTCATGTCAAGCTTGGTACTTTGGTGCCTGAAGTTCTAAGAGCTATCCACTGGAAAACATATTGGTGTTATTAAAAGAAGAAGCTGAAATGAGCAAATGAAGCCACACAGCTGAAGTAATTAAGACTGACATGAAATAGGTTTCTAAATGTCACTTTTCAATACAATTTCCCTGACATTTAGTGATCTTATTGATAACTTTCACTGATATGATTTACAGTGACTTTTGGGGTAAGCTAGAAATTATTCCAAGGATGCTATTCAATGCTAGACCTTCTCAAAGTAGGCCCATTTCAATTAATGGAGATGACTAACTTGGGTTTGTTAATTTCACTGGGTGAACCCTGAGTTAGGGCTTAGCTGAATACAACCTTTTATTTTGACAACTCGGCTGTAATGTACCATGTAAGATGCGCAGTAAAGCAAACAGATTTTGTGTCCCACACTTTTAGTTATGCTAAGGAGTTTTGTGCTAATGGTGCAATATTGTGTCAAATCACATGTATTTAAGTAAGGCCAAAACACATGACTTTCCATGTACAGTGGTACCTCGGGTTAAGTACTTAATTCGTTCCGGATGTCCGTTCTTAACCTGAAACTGTTCTTAACCTTAAGCACCACTTTAGCTAATGGGGCCTCTCGCTGCTGCTGCGCCGCCGGAGCACAATTTCTGATCTCATCCTGAAGCAAAGTTCTTAACCTGAAGCACTATTTCTGGGTTAGTGGAGTCTGTAACCTGAGGCGTATGTAACTCGAGGTACCACTGTATTTTTTAAAAAATATATGCTACACCATATAGGGTTGTAGAAGTGCTCAGCTTTCTACTGAAGGGATAATTGCTTGCCAAAGTCAGTAACACCATTGGGCCTAATTCACACATTGGACCAGATCAGTGAAGAGATTAGACCAGGTAGCAGCCCAAGCCTATGAATGGTAGGTGGAATGGCAGACTTGAACTCACCTGGCTGGGACTAGGAACCGGGTGAGCGTTCAAGTGTCAACATTATGTACAATTATTTCGGCACTGTGTTAAGACATTTGCCCAGGCACTACAAAGGGCTTAGATTCACCTTCACATTTTTAAAAACCAAAACTGGCACCACAAAATTCTGATTGGTAGGTGTGACCTAATCCACAGACAAGTCCTGTGCTAGAGAATTTGATCACTTTGCCAGAAAATGTGGACTGAATTAATTTCCCCTTCATCCGTACTAGGATTATTCCTATCTTCCACCCTACAGTGTGGTCAGCCCTGAACCCAAACAGCCTGTGTGGACGAGGTCACTGAAATTAACAGCTGAAATATGTTCCCAAATAACCAGGGAGATTTTTTGTTTTAAATCAATGCATCTCATACTTTTCTGTAAAGGCTTTAAATACTTATTCTCCCCTAAGGCAAATATTTTTAATAAGTGGAACAGTAATTAAACTGCTATAATATACATGTGATATAGAATATATTTGTGTTCATTTCCTCCTCAAAAATAGATTATAAATTAGTGGCACCAATCCCTTTAAACAGTGAAACACAATTTAACTCCTTTTTTAAAAAAGAAGAAGAACTTTGACAATGGAAAGCTGGCAGAAATGTGTCATCAGAAAAAATAAGCTTCTTTTCCAACGCTGATTTTGTTAACTTAATTTTGGCTGACAATTTCATTCTTGCATCTTCCTAAGAATGTCGGAGCAGGCACCAGGAGTTAATCCCAACCCTTGTCACTCATTTGTAAGGAAAGAACAAAACCTTCAGAAAATGAAACCGCAAGACACAAAATAATCAAATTTAAACGCATAACCAGTACAGATATGCTTCTACAATGCAAATGCTATTAAAGCAAATTGCACTTCGATTCCCCCTTCCAATATTTTAATAGAAGCCTTGTGAGAAGATGGTGGAGAACGAAACACTCAAAATCTCACACATCCCTACTGCCTGGCTTGAGCATGCAGAAGTTGGATGGCTTAAAGCGGGGATTAGACAAATTCATGGAGAAGGCAGCTATCAATGGCTACTTGTCATGGCTGCTATATATTATCTCCAGTATCAGAAGCAGCAGGCTCTAAATTTGATGGGGAACATGAGCAGGGGAGTGCTATTATGCTCTCGTCCAACCTGTGGGCTTCCAACTGGCATCTTCCAACTGGCATCTCATTAGCTTCTGTGGGGATCAGAATCTCAGACTCGGTCGTTTTTGTCCTCGTTTTGCAGGCCTGCAATCCATTATAAACACTTGCTCGCCTTCACCCCTCGGGATGAGCACAGCCCATAAAATGCATTCCCCCCTCCTATTGTGATGGGGAAGGGTAGGAAATCAACAAATACTACTGAATTTGAGGGTCAGGGTGGAAGTGTTCCATGATCTCGATAAGAGAAGCCACAGACCCCACAGAACTTCAAGGGTTGTGTGATTAAAGTGATGCAAATGTACATAGGATCAGGTCTGTCCCCAGAATCATTTAAAGCCTATTCAAGTATTATGCTTTGGTGCATGAGGGGGGGAATGGGACCACCCACTCTTGCTGTTGAGTCCCATCCCGGCGTCCCCACCCCAACACCAGCAGGGGAGAAGGACAATTTGAGGTGAGGAGGCTGCTTAGTGTTCATAGGCTCCCATGCAATTTAGAACGTTCCCAGTGTCTGGAGAGTGTGATCCTAATTGTGTGAGTGCTGAATAGGACTTAAATATTCTTTCATGAACATCTGTGCTTGAAATGCCTACAGAAAGTTCACATGAAAAGGACCCTCTAGATTAACCCTGAATTCACTTTAGGTTGGAGACGGAGTACCTGGGGACCTCCAGATGTTGTCAGACTACCAACTCCCATCAGCCTCTGCCTGCTTCGCCAATGGTCATTGATGATGAAGGTCACAATCCGGCATAAGCTGGATGGCCTCAGGTTTCCCATCCTTGCTTTGGAGGGAAAAACTCATAAACTACAGTCAATAACCTTTGGGACTTATTTGCCTCAGATTGTGGTAAAAGAGTCAGATTAAGCCAAAATCAACTTTCTTCAACAAAACAAACACGTAGGATAAGATCATTTGTAAGAAAATTAGACCAAATTAGGATTACGGAGTGACCCTTATAAATAAGAAAATTAAGGTGACCACCACACAACTGGGAAGCATATGAAAATATCCTGGCGATACTGGTGGGTTGAATCATATTGTGTTTTCCCCACCTGATCATCATCCTGAATAGACTATACAAATTCACCCACAGTACAAAATCATTATCCTGAGAGGATTTCATTCGCAGTCCAATGTCTGCAGGCTGAAATTTCCAGAAGCATCACTTTTTAATCACCTGTGGCTAGTATTAAAATTAATGTCTTGCTTCCCATTTAAAAATCCAAAATATTAAACATGGCAGATGTAAGCTGTTTACATTCTTCTAGACTTCCACACAGAGTAATCGAAACAGTATACTTTAGGCAGGATTATATTTTTTTTTAATTGCCCCAAAAAGTGTATACAAAATTGATGTGGCCATTATTAACCTTGTGTTCTACCTCCATAGTACCTACATGTTGAAAAGCAGAAACTCTTTCATTTTGAATTACCTGTCTTTCCAATCACTGCAGTTAGTTTAAATGTGCACCTCTGTGACAGTTGCTATGGAAATATCCTTAGAAGAGACTGCGGTTGAAGGAGACATTTTCAACTACAATGTATGTGGGGAAGCCAATACAGACACAGAACAATGTATGGAACGCTGGAGGCTTTGAAGGCCCTTGGGGAAGCAATAGAAGATATGTGAAGCTAGAAGGAGGGGTCTGTTCAAAAGCTGGAAGGGAAAGTGTGAGGAAATAGAAGTCATGGAACTATCAGATTATTTGATGCCTCATGCTGAGTCAGATTATTGATTCCTCCAACTCAGTCCTGTCTTTTCTGTCTGGCAACAACTCTTCAAGATTCTTCAAGACAACCCCTTACCCTGTTTCATAGATGGAGAACTTGTGACCCTTCAGATGTTGTTTGTCTGCAAGTCTCATCATTGATCATGCTAGCTGATGGGAGTGGAGAGTTGAACAGCACAAGTTCCCCATCTCTACCCTATATCTTTTAACTGGAGATGCCAGAGATTGGGGCCCAATATATGAAAATCATGCGCTCTGCCATTGAGCTGTGGCCTCCTTCCCTGATCTAATCAATGTAATATAAAAAATGTTCTACTGGGTAAAGGTAAAGGGACCTCTAACTATTAGGTCCAGTCGTGGCTAACTCTGGGGTTGCGGCGCTCATCTTTCTTTATTGGCCAAGAGAGCCGGCATACAGCTTCCGGGTCATGTGGCCAGCATGACTAAGCCGCTTCTGGCGAACCAGAGCAGCGCATGGAAACGCTGTTTACCTTCCCGCCGGAGCGGTACCTATTTATCTACTTGTACTTTGACGTGCTTTCAAACTGCTAGGTTGGCAGAAGCTGGGACCGAGCAACGGGAGCTCACCCCGTCGCAGGAATTCAAACTGCGACCTTCTGATGGGCAAGTCCTAGGCTCTGTGGTTTAACCCACAGCGCCACCCGCGTCCCTCTACTGGGTTACGTCATTCTAAATTATGGTGGTGGGCTTCTATCTAGTTAAAGCTTCCTTGCCTTTAATGAACAACAACGTCTCCTTTGGTATAAATGTATTCCAAAAGCTAAAGCTCATGTAGTGAAAAACTTGTTGAAAAATGATTTGAATTTTTGCTCAACCCTAAAGGGTATGTTCATTCATCATGCTTCTACATCTCATGACTTCACACAAGTCCATTTAAAGACATGCTCAAGATTGATATAAAGTCATGAAATAACCTTGCCCCACAGCTAGACATTGAAAAGTATCATCTCCCAATCTTGCCTGGCATCTTTGCTTGTACTTTCAAAGGTTAAAGAAAAACAAGTTTTAACTGCCAGATTTTAATCACTTTTCTTCATGCTTTCGATTAGTCCTCTCATCTCCTGTCTTCACTCCCATCAAGGGTATCTATCCTGGCATTCAGTCTAAGAAACAGATATTTGGCCATACGGAAATATTAAAATGTTACGATACAATCATCGTATAGTGTGCAAGATAATGGTCCCATCTTCATTTTCTGCAGAGAGTAGGAAGCTTTGTACGTACTACCTCTACTGTTTATTATAACTCTTCTAATTTGGGAAATACTTTATTATCTGCAGCTTGTTTGCCCTCGTGGAAACTTTATGAGCTTGATCTTTGCTTCACATCCCCTTCTGTTCTACAGATGGAGAAGAGCAGCAGCTGAAACACAGCAACTTGCCAAAGCCCACCCACTGACTCCCCACAGATGGGGCTGTGAAAGCTCTTTACCTGCACCAAAAATGAGGCAAACCGAATCGAGCCATTGTTGTTTTTTTCATGATGTGCAGCATTCAGCTATGTTTCATTCAGGAATTAGTGAGCCTAACTTAAGTCACATTCATTACGTTTAAACAGTAAAACTTAGTTGAATACCACCCCATATTTATATGCTGCTCAGTATAAGAAAAAATATCTGGGCAGCTTGCAATAAAAAATGGAGGGGGGTTAAATTGGCGGCCCATCTAACTTAAAAACACAACCGCAGCAGTAAATGGCCAATGTCTTAACACGCATTTTTTAAATTAGTGGTTATCCTACATATTTTAATTGTTTTATATTTGTATTATTTACCGTGCTCTAGCTTACAGAGTTTAATTTTAGCCTATGTTCGCTATCACTGTACAGTGGTACCTCGCAAGACGAAAAACGTGCAAGACAAAAGAGTTTTCCGTTTTTTGAGTCGTTCCGCAAGACGAATTTCCCTATGGGCTTGCTTCGCAAGACGAAACGTCTTGCGAGTTCTTGCGAGTTTGTTTCCTTTTTCTTAAAGCCGCTAAGCCGTTAAGCCGCTAATAGCCGTGCTTCGCAAGACGGAAAAACCACAAGACGAAGAGACTCGCGGAACGGATTAATTTCGTCTTGCGAGGCACCACTGTATATGTCCGTATTTCTGGTCTGTGACCATAATAAATTGGTTCATTCATTCAACAGCAGCAAAATAAAATAACACAATGACAGCCCTGCTAGCTGCCTATGGAAAGCCCATATACCTAGCCTACTTTGATTGGCATAGGGCCAGCCCACCCATGAAGTAAAGTAAGGCAACGGCCTCAGGCGGCAAGACCCACAGGGGCAGAATATCCAAGGAATGCATCATCCGCAGCTGCTGACAGTGCCACAGGGACAGCAACAGTTGCGGCATGCTACAAATCTCTCCCTGGACAAAATCCGTCCCTGGAATGTCCCCGGCTTTCATTTAATGTCCCCGGATTTATATTTTAAGTGTTGTAGATTTATTAGTAGGGAATGAATGTTGCGTGATTGGTTCAACGGCACAAGACACATCATATGGGGACTTTTGGAGAGGCAAAATGGCGGATGCCACGACAGAGAGCAGCCCATGAAGCCAGCCAGAGCCAACTGCGCTACCAGGATGGCTCTGGGCTGCTGAGACTGCTGCTGCCACTGTCACTGCCACTGCCAAGGGGGCACCAGAGATGCCTGCAGCATCAAGTAGGGGAACCGCTGCCCCCCCATGACCCAAATTGAGCCAGGAGCGAGAACACCTGGCCACCCAGCCGACTGCCCACTGGTGCTCCAGCTCTGATGGAGGGAGAAGGAGGAGAGGAGGAGAAGGAAGAGAGAGAAAGAGGAAGGAGAAAAAAGAGGGGAGCCCCGACCTTGCCGCACCACTGAGGACGAGAGGTAGGAGAGCAAGGACACATAGCCAAACCCAGGCTCGACCTGAGCCTACTCCATGGTGGCTAGCGTTCCAAGAGTTCCAGAGGAAGGCCGCCCAACAGAGGAGACCACAAAAGAAAAGATATTACAGTGGTACCTCGGGTTAAGAACTTAATTAGTTCCAGAGGTCCATTCTTAACCTGAAACTGTTCTTAACCTGAAGCACCACTTTAGCTAATGGGGCCTCCCGCTGCTGCTGCGCCGCTGGAGCATGATTTCTGTTCTCATCCTGAAGCAAAGTTCTTAACCCAAGGTTCTATTTCTGGGTTAGCGGAGTCTGTAATCTGATGCGTCTGTAACCTGAAGCGTCTGTAACCCAAGGTACCTCTGTACTTCTTTTTTTTTTAACTTTTTTTTTTTAAAAAAAACTTTTTTAAAAAAAAACACACACTTTTTTTCTCTTATATAAAAAAAGTGTCCCTGGATTCTTTGAAGAAAATCTGGTAACCTTATTCTTGGAGGCCGGATCTCCTTCCTCCTCAGCAGTTCCACCTCATGCCACCTTTACAATGACCTCTTGGCAAATAGGAGGCCTTGCTGGTCCCCTCCCACCTTTGTTCCTGATGTAGATCTTTATTCCGTCCCCTTATTCCCGATGTAGCATTTGAATATTCACCTCAAGTGCCGAAATGTCTTAGGCTGGCCCTGGCCTGCACACGTTCTTCAAGACCTCTCCCACGGTTATCCTGCCTGAGAACGTTTAGCTAGAAGTGCCGTGTGGTCATGAATCATCATGGCTGTATAGCACCCTCAGGATCAGAGGCAGCATGCCTCTGAAATACAAATTTCTGGGGAACAGGAGTGAGCGAATGCGGTCAGTGCATTTGGGGTGGTGGTAAGATCTATGCACTGGTTATGTGTAGGCTGAGCATGTGAAGTGAAATGGCTGGAAGTGTAAACAGGGAGATAGATCTTTTCTTTCGTATGTGTTGGACTCGCAAAAAAGTGAGGGTATTTTGGGAAACTATACATGACCACATAAGGGATTATAGAGGCAGAAATCCACTCCAAATGTCAAAAAATTGCTTATGTATGTAATAACAGAAACTAGGATTCTATATGCGCAGAAATGGAAGGAAGAAGAAGTTCCAACCAAAGGAGAATGGACTATGTAGAACTAGCAAAATAAATAGCAAAATTAAGAGAATCTAATGTTTTAGGGAAGAATGGATGCCTTTTTCAGAGTATTTAAAGAAATATTATAGTAAGATGAGCTTGCGTGCAGGACTTGAGCTATGAGCAACAGAAGTACAGTAGTACCCCGAGTTAAGAACTAAATTCGTTCTGGAGGTCCATTCTTAACCTGAAACTGTTCTTAACCTGAGGTACCACTTTAGCTAATAGGGCCTCCCGCTGCTGCTGCGCAATTTCTGTTCTCATCCCGAAGCAAAGTTCTTAACCCAAGGTACTATTTCTGGGTTAGCGAAGTCTGTAACCTCAAGCATTTGTAACCTGAAGTGTATGTAACCCGAGGTACCACTGTAATTAGATTATAATATAGTGGTTATGATTTATGAGATAGGGTGCAGCAGGAGGGGAGAAAGAACAACTCCATGGAAAACAGGGTAGGAAGTCGATGGAAATGAGAGACAATGTGAAATTGTGTTTTGATTGTATATGTTAAAAAGGTTGAAACTTAATACAACATAATTGACCAAAAAAATTGAAATGCTGCACAGTGTTCCAGTTCTGTACATTCAAAAGGCTTTCCCCGTTGCAGACTTTGTTCTCAATGTGTGAACAGCACTGGGTGATGCTGCCAGAGATGTGGCAATGTGGTTGGTGCCGGCAATCACAATCCTGCTGTTACCCCTGCCTGCCCCCCCCATGTGGTGTCAATTGCTCGAGAGAGAAATGCCCTAATAGAGCTATTATTGCATCAGAATTGGTCCTGGGTCTATCATCTCCCCTCCCCCTCCCCACAGAAGGCTAACTTCAGTTCAGGTGTGCCAACTCTAGGGGGCTGAGGTACCTTCAGCCCTCTCAATGTTTGTTTGAAAGGTGCCTGTTAAGGGGGTACAGAGTGCATTGCACACACGACGATGCATGCGTTGTATGTCACAAGTTCAGCACCTAGCCAGGGGTGTAGCGGGGTGTGTGTGTGGTAGGTGTGGTCCGCCCCGAGGGAGGTGCCAAAATGGTGGGCAACACTCACTGCGGGGCCTGCAGCGCGCCCGAGCCACGCGTCTCTCCTGGGAGTGACGCGGTGGCTTGAATGCCCGCAGGCTCTGCGCTGTCCCAAACAGTCTGCCCGTTGCCTCCCCTCAGTTGTAGGGTGGCTGAGTGGGAGGAGGCAGGCAGACTCCTCAGTTGCCCCGCAGTGCCCCCATGGGTGGGTGGCCTTGCCCCTGTGGGCGGCTGGTTCCGCCCCTGGGAGCAGGGCAGCGCCCCAGGTGCCCAATCGGCTTGCTCTACCACTGCACCTAGCTCCGCCGGAGTGCTCTGCCTACTTCAGATGACATGACATCTTGTGTGCATGCCACACTCCGGGCCCCCTCAATCTTGGGGGCAGCCTGCCACATCTGCCCGAGTTGTTATTTTCATGATGCATGTTTCTTTAATTTAAATAGCACTCAGGCCCACTGAGGAGAGAATACAGAATTACAGTGAGGTCTGCAATATGTGAAGGCATTTGTGTTTGCATACCATGTTGAACAGATACTTAGGAAAAGTGCAAAATATATATTAGTCAAAGCAAAGACAGCCCGAATTAAAAGTGTGATTTGCACTAGAGAATTGCTTAGGGCTGAATAAAATAAATTAAACCTACAACCTAATTAAACGGCAGGCTTTGGGTTTAAGCCTATCTGAGTTCATCCACTTCGGATAGTCTTCGAATAGTGGATTAAATCTGTTCATTTGGACAACTGCTTCAGGAACTTGAGTTGGCAAGCAGGGTAGAAATTTAATAAATCCATGAATAAATTTCACCACAGTTGAGCTGTGGAAATCACAGCTTAAAATGCATCACAATTTTGACCGGACTGCTGTTGGCACTGCCTACAGCAAATACCTTCTGGGGCCAGGTTAAGGGGTGGGTTAAGTTGAAGGAAAGTACATCAAAACAGTCCAAGAAATCAAGACAGTTTAGATGTTTGCTGATCAAATTAAGTTCTACAGTTTGTCGGTTGTATCAATGAAGTTGCAATGAGGTTGGAAATAAGAGCAAAATCATATAAGCAGCAGTAAATGTGTGTGTGTTGCCTTTCTGCTAAACTTGCAGGTTTCCACTTACAATCAGCGAGGAACATTATAGCCTCTCTAACTAGCTTAGAAGGGTCTCTCTGTTTTAGTTTGATCTGGGGTTGTTGTTGTTGTTTTATATGTAGGGAGCAGGGTATGTAGGAAAGCATTCAGCAATGAAATAGTGTGGTACAGATTGATATATCTTGAGGGACTCAAGAGGTTCTTATAACCCTCATATCACAGAATCATAGAATTGAAGAGTTGGAAGAGACCCTGTGAATCATCTAGCCCAGGGGTTGGCAAAATTTTTGTGGCTTGGGCCATAGTGTGTGTGTGTGCGTGTGTGTGTGTGTGTGTGTGTGTGTGTGTGTAAACACTATTTCCAGTGCTTCTTCTGGCATGGAGGAGACGTGCGCAGCTTCCCATTGGCTCCTGTAGCCAATGGGAAGCCGGCCAGCGTTGCAGAAGGTGGTCCTCAGTCTGCTCCGCGCCGGTTTAGCGCAGTGCATGGGAGCCGACTGAGCAAGCGGCAGAGGTCCATGGGCTGGTTAAATAGCCCCCGTTGGCCACTTGTGACCCATGGGCCTTAGGTTGCCGACCCCTGATCTAGCCCACCCCCTGCAATGGAGAGATACACAGCTGTCCCATAGGGGGATCAAACCTGAAACCTTGGCCTTATCAGCACAACGCTCTAATCAACTGAACTATCCATTGCTATACACATGAACTTCTACTTTATCCTTGAATGTGGGGGTTTGCTGGCTGCAATTTTAAAAAATATCCTGCCAGAAAGTTCATAGTGCATATTGCTGGACAATTATTTCCAGTGGATTAATTTCAGCAAGATCTAAAGAAGATAGGAGCTGATAGCACTTAATCAAATTCAGTGTGCTGTCTGTCAGCCTGCAAATTCCTAGCACTTCCTGATATCTTAGGACATTCTTGTGCTCATGATGCCTTAATTTGGAAGTCACCAGTGTGGTGCCTGTGCACCCACCAAGGCCTTCACTTGCACCCACAGGGTCCCCCTACTGAAATTAGCTTGAAAGAAGCATCTGTTGCAACCCACACAAACAGGTTATGATGTGTGATTGGTTGCCATGTGTGTTGCACCCATTTGGATTGAAAATGTGCCCATTGTCCTTCAAAAGTTGGGGATCCCTGTCTAATTGCTGTAGTTGCATGTGTGTGAGAGAGACAGTGTGTGTGTGTGTGAGGCATATCTCCATGTGTAAACTCGACAGAACAAGACCTACTTTTACCACATCACATGATCTGGCAAATTAGCTCCACTAGCCCACACTGTTGTGAAGAATTCTGTTTTGAAGCCATTGCAGATTCTCTGGATGGGTAAAATGAGCCTAAGAGAGCTCTCGAAAAGGTCAGCGGTTGTTCTCTCAAGTATCCTCAGGGCAGCAAAATAGAAGTGCCCTTTCACTGTTAGTCGGGAGAAAATAGAGGTGGACAAACTTTGAAAAAAGCAAAACAGAGCTATAATGGAGTCACAGCTAGGTCTGCTGCCCATTTATTGGCTTACTTTGGCTTGTGGTTGCATCTGCATAATCAGAGTTTGTTTATTGCAGTATGATGTGCATCCCAGGGTGGGATGTTAGGGGTGGGATATTACCTCTGGTGGGGGACACACCATGATCTTCTTGGGGTAGTTTGTCCCCCTTTGGTCCCCGCCCTGCACTCAGCAATCACCTGAGGCACCTAGAAGCTGTCAGCATGTGACAGCAGTCACACCCTGGGAAACAGCTTTGTCTGGCTGGCTAAACCAAGTGAGGGTGGCCCTTGTTGAGTGAATGTGAAGACAGGCTCTGGCGGATTGAGTGGACAAGACTGATAGTGGGTCCAGTGGTTGAGAAGACCTCTCCTCCTCCCAGAGGAAGGGTTGTGAGCGGGAGCAGCTTCCCGCAGTGGCAGGGAGGAGTATTCGGCTCCCTGCCTCTGATTGCCTCTGATTGCCTCTGCTGCCACGGCTGAGCCTTCCAGCCGGCCAATAGGGCAGCTGCGGCAGCGCTCTGTCCCCAGTCGGTTCCTGCTTGCATCGGATCTCCCGCCCTCCTGCCCTTTAGGTCAGCTTCCTCTGCGTATTGACCTTGCTATGGACAAAGTTGGTTGCCTTGGTTGCCCAAAGGGCCTGGTAGGACTTTTTTCTCCATTGGGCAAATTGGCACCAGCATCTTGGTTTTTTCACCTACCTCATAGCAACTCGTCACAACTTCCTGGTATTGGCGGTTAGGCCTTGGAATGTGTGTACTGTGTTGGAGGATTGGGTATGGGCCATCATCTACCCCTCCTCTTTTGGGTATTCCGTTAAAGGAATCTGGCGGTCGTGGATCCTGTCCGATGCCCTGCTGGTGGCTAGGGCCCCCAGTGATGTCATGGAGAAGCTTCCAGTTGTATTTGCATCAACAAGCTCCTCCCACTGGTTGTTAACCCCTGAAATGACTCCCTGCTGTGTGGGGTCATGTATTGCTGTTTTATCCAATGCCTAAGCCAATACTACTCACATGCTGTAACCAATAATGTTGTGGCCTAATTTTGCCCATTAACTTAAAATAATGTGTCTTTGTGTCTTATTATAATCCTATGCAGGTGGCGGGTCCTCGACTCACAAGGCAATTTCTGCACGAACTGTAAAGGGAAGTGAGGAGCAGATGGGGCTCATCAATCAGGGGAGAGAGGCAATCTAGGAGAAGGAAAACTCTGATCCTAAATCTCCCCTGCCGTGTGGGATGTCTTCAGGAGAAGAAAACGCTAAGGAGCAAACGCTACACAAATCTTAGGGAGTGGAGTCCCTAAGATGGTTGAACTTGAAGCATGGGAAGTCCCAATGAAAATTTATAATTTGGCAGAATATTTGGACTATATGATATGTGTTTGTATAATTTGGAATATTTAATGTGATTGGAGTGGATTGTTAAAATGGAAAATTTAATAAACAACTATTTTTTTTTAAAAAAAAAGATGGTTGAATGGCACCTTGTACCCCTCCAAGCTGGTACAAAACATATTGCTCTGCACATACACACACACACACATCATTTCTCTCCATCTTTTACCTTAGCAATACTTTAGCAGTTTTTCATTTTGATATACTGAGAGTGAGAGAGAAACCAGGAAAAATGTTTTTATGATTCACCCTGGTATTTATGTTGTGGGAGCAAAGCAAATGCTAATGTGTAGATATGTATTGTGTTCTAGGAAAACTGATATGCCACTTCAATCTCATAGCCCTCCCTTTCTGCTCCAGAAATGCTTCGAAGAAAATGTCTCCTGGAATACTTGCTCAACGACACATGCAGGATATATTTCAACATTTAATGTGGAACAATCATTTCATTGCTGATTTGCCTATTTTATTTACAGGCACTCACCAGTGGGATATCAGTTTATATTGCCTATTTTCACTAAGCACTACTACAGATTGTGAATAGCGGTGAAGTTCGCTCAGGGGACATCTGTCTAGCCAGTTACCAGGAATATCAATGTGTGTTCCTTTCTCTTCAGTAAAGACATGTTTGTGATTTATGTGCCCATTTTAAACTAGGGATTTTAAAAGCTACACATAACTGCATAATTCAGGCGAAGAGCTAAAATAAACTCCATATCCACCTGATGAAAAATATGTAGAGTTGAAGACCCTTAACTATAAACTTTAAAAAGAAAGTTCATGATTGTGGTCCACTGTGGAGAGGGATTAAGATGGGAGAAAGGGCCCATAAAAGTCAACTTGAAACTTTGGACTGAATCCTTCTTTCCAGACTCCCTTCCTGTATAGCCCCTGAAGATGCCAGCACCAGCAGAAAGATCTACTATGGGGATGGAGAACTTGTGGCCCTTCAGGACTACAACTCCCATCATCCCTGGCCTTTGGCCAAGCTGCCTTGGGCTGATGGGAAATAACATACAAAGGGTTCCTCACCTTAGGTCTACTAGTTAGAGATAGAAAATGAAGCGGTGGTGGCTGGTGCCACTGTGAATGATGCAGAGGAAGCCAGGCAGACCAAAGAATAGGTTGAGCCAGAGCCAATCACAAGCAGAGTCAACTAATTCTAGTTTTGTCCATGACCTCCTCCCTGCTAAATTCTACAAGGGAAGAACCCATCTACACCATGAAGAGACTGATGTTACGTACTGAAGTTCTCACCCTGGGCCAGCAGGGGGATACTGTAGACAGTTTTCACTCAGGTCCGCATATCCAGATAAGGAATTGAAAGTGACGTTCAGTGATTGGATAGTTACAGAAAGTTGTTACTGTTGCCATGTAGTTGAGCTCTATATAAGCAGGTTGGCTGATCCCTTCAGCCCTGTTCTGTTCTGGCCTGTGAATAAACAAGAGCTGTCTGAAGAATTGCTGTGTCGTTTGATATGTTCACCTACAACTTAACACATGTCATTGTTGTCTAATATTCATATGGAAGCCACTAGGAAAGATCCCCAAGAAGTTCAGAGCAAAGTGTCATAGGTGTTTTCCTAATCCTTGTTTTCTTTCCCCATCAACCTCAAATCTGAGTGTCTAAGCTGTGGTTGGTTGGATAGGAATGGAGAGATTTAAAAAAGAAGAAGAGTCTAAAGCAGGTGGATGTGGTGGTGGTTGACATTTCCCATCATCTGAGATAGGCTGTAGGTCCTGTGATGGATGGGTCACCTGATTCCTAAAGAGCAGACTCTTAGAAAAACAGTTGTTTTTTTTCATTCTAAATTTTGGTCTACTGTTCACCCTTCTTAGCAAATTTAGTGCTGACCCTGATAGCCTCCTTGATAACCCATTATGATTAATATGGTTAACCAAGGATGCAGTGGGCAAGGCTTGTAACATCTGTCCATCTGGAAGTCTACCAAAGTCAACCTGAGCATTTTCTGGAAACAAATACTTTATGTGTTGTTGTTTTTTGTGTGTGTGAGGGCAGGGGAACCCCCTGAAGCTTTTAGTAGCTGGGGATAAGCCCATGCTTTTTCTTAGAACTTTATGTGCTATGTTTTAAAGTGTTTTGTTTGTTACCTATTCATAGCCTAAGGAATAGGTGGGTGGGAGAGGGAAGGAAGGAATAAATAATAGGTAGATGGTTGGCTGTGCGAAAAGGAAACTCATTTCGGTCTGGAAAGCCCCAGATTTACATATAGTTCACATAGCCGTAGAGAAGCTAAATGAATTTGTGAGGTTTAGAAAGTTAATAGAGGGGATGCTTGCAGAGCTGTTGGTATAAAGTCTGTCACTTGCTTCTTAATCCACAGAAGCAAGTGATTACAGATTCCTATTCCATGCACATTGCCTCAGCTTTATCTGCACAGGCCTATCGTCTCAGCCAAGGTGTTTAATAGCGGATATGGTTATAAAGGTCTGTTGAGTCAGGGGGAATCAGTGTGCTCAAAGCAAACGTGGATCAGGTTTGCTGAGTTTTTATCTGCTTTAATATTTAAAAATTAAAATGATGCTCATTATATGCAGCACTACATGCAAGTGGGTGCATATTAAAATGCACATGCAAAGCAGCCTCAATTCTCTTAGGCATTTCCATTTTAAAACTACATTGTTGTCATTATGAAGCTTCCAGTTCAATCAGCCTTCACTTCATGAAGCCGTTCTTGACTAATAAATATGCAAAACATCTCATAGTCTTGCTCTAAGCTTGTGTGAGAATTCTCATTATATACAAAGGGACATGCACTCACCCGGGGGGGGGGGGTTACCCAGCTACTAGTGAACTAACCTATCAGCTAGAGGCAAAAAATGTGGTGCACACGGAGTCAGAAACATATTGCTTACTACTACTACTACTACTAATAAAAAATAATAATAATTTATACCCTGCCCTTCCTGGTTCAGGGACACAGGTGGCACTGTGGGTTAAACCACAGAGCCTAGGACTTGCCAATCAGAAGGTCGGTGGTTCGAATCCCCGCGACGGGGTGAGCTCCCGTTGCTCGGTCCCTGCTCCTGCCAACCTAGCAGTTCCAAAGCACGTCAAAGTGCAAGTAGATAAATAGGTACCACTCCGGTGGGAAGGTAAACGGCGTTTCCGTGCGCTGCTCTGGTTTGCCAGAAGTGGCTTAGTCATGCTGGCCACATGACCTGGCAGCTGTACGCCGGCTCCCTCGGCCAATAAAGCGAGATGAGCGCCACAACCCCAGAGTCGGCCACGACTGGACCTAATGGTCAGGGGTCCCTTTACCTTTACCTTTATTTCCTGGTTCAAAAACCGGGCTCAGGATGGCTAACAACAAATTTAAAACACTTTAAAACACTTAATTATAAAAGCAGCATAAAATACAGTATAAAACATGAATAACAATAAAATTCAAAATTCATAAATCAATTAGATAATCCCCAGGGCTAGCTGGTTGAATTGGTCCTACTTGGGCCAGGGGAGAATTAGCTGTGGGGTCTCAGAGCACGTGATCTTCATAAAAGGGGAGGGGGAAGGAAGAGAAGGGAAATAAAAGATCAGTCTGAATTCAAATTAAAGGTCAGGCTGAATAGCTCTGTCTTACAGGCCCAACGGAAGGAGGCTGAATCCTGAAGGGCCCTAGTCTCATGGGACAGAGCATTCTACCAGGCATCACTGAAAAGGCCCTGGCCCTGGTGGAGGATAGTCTGAGATTTAGTCAGATGACACTTCATCACAGTCTACAAGTCAATACTACATAATAGTAGTCAATAGCATCAGGTGGTTGACTGACTAATTCAAGCAGCCACATGGAGGGTGAATTTGGAAGAACAGTAATTAGCCTAGAAAGGTACCCTACAAGACTATTCAAGAAAGCTTGAAGTCAATGAATAAGACATTGGAGTTGATCTAATTGTCTCAGCCTCCTCTCGGATGCGCAAGTTTTCCAAAGGCAGGCAAGTTTGTTTGGTTTTTTAAATGGGAGAAAGCATGCCAATTTTGCACATTTGAATTGGCCCGTATCTCCATATGGCTCCATCCACTGTGCTGCCTTGACCCCTGCTTCTGATTTTGAGTGCCATTAAATCCAGTGGTTAAAGGTTTGCTCAAAGGCAAGGCCTTCATCAGCTCATTTGCTTCAGCAAAAACCATTCATCATTTCCTCCTCACAAAAGCCCATTGTCCCATGGCTGCTGTTTTCATTCAGCTGCTCTCATTTTCTACTCAAATCTGCTCTTGTTCGATCAAAATAATGAGCATCCAGTTATCCCACTCATCTGCTCATTGCCACTAGGAGAGATTATCCTAGGAGGAAGTCTTTGGGGACCCATAGTCCTGAGGGGAGAATCGTACAAATGAAATGGCCAAGAGATTTGAAGACTGTAGGCTTCAGATAAGCACACACTACATGCGAGGGTTGAGATACATTTTCTTTCTCTTTTCCCTCAGGGGAACATCACCCTGGCTCAAAGCCCGGGATACGTTGTTAGACTTTTGTGAGGCTTTCATTGCCAACTCACCATGAAAATGAGCTGAGGAGGCACCTGTTTTCACCACTCTGCCCGTGTTGCGCAGTGTTCAGCAGGGTGGGCCATCCAGGTTCCAGAAATATCATATTGTATTTCTCTGAGCCAGATGGCAATGTGAGATGGTTGGTTAGATGCCCCTCTCACTCTGAGTGCCTCACAGTGCTTGCCTTCATCTGAGTTTGTATTTTCCAATAAGGAAACAGATCTTTTGGTGAAATCTCTAGTTGGGTAACAGGACTTAAGAAAAACTCGGTGAATTCCTTACCCTGTTCTCTGCCACCATCAGTCCCAAAATACATATTTAAATTAGCAAATGAGCATCTTGATACTTCAAAACTGCATTGCAACATTCAAAGAAGTGCAAAATTTGTTGGCTAACTCAGGTTCCAATCTGTACAGTAGTCTGAGAAGTGCAGATAAGATCATTTTGAATCGGGATTTGAAAAGACTTAGCACTTTGATCCCCGAGGTGAAAGAAAAATTCAAACGCACTGCCCCTGGCAGTGAAAAATATAATAAATTAAATAACTGTTTTGTGCAGTGCTTTAAAAAATAATAATAGTTTGAACATCTGGAAGGACTTTACATCAAGTCAGATATAAAAAGTGAAAGGGCCATACTTTATACCCCATTGAATGTTTTTGCCTGGCTGAATTATCCTTGATTGCCTTTTGGTTGCCTGCCTGGTGAGTAGAGATACATGTGGGCACATGTAGAAATGAACCTACTATAAAAAGGTGGCGCTGTGGTCAAACCACTGAGCCTCTTGGACTTGCTGATCAGAAGGTTGGTGAGCTCCCGTTGCTCTGTCCCAGCTCCTGCCAACCTAGCAGTTCGAAAGCATGCCAGTTCAAGTAGATAAATAGGTACCACTGTGGCGAGAAGGTAACCGGCATTTCCGTGTGCTCTGGTTTCCATCACAGTGTTCTGTTGCTCCAAAAGCAGTTTAGTCATGTTGGCTACATGACCCGGAAAGCTGTCTGTGGACAAACACTGGCTCCCTCGACCTGAAAGCGAGATGAGTGCCTCAACCCCATAGTCCAGGGGTCCTTTACCTTAACCTTTTCTTTTACTAAACAAAAGTAAAATTCACACTTGTTCCTTCCCCCACATTTGCCTTCTGGCGGTTCCCTCACTGCAAGAAGCCAAGTTACAGGGAACCAGGCAGAGGGCCTTCTTGGTAGTGGCACCCACCCTGTGGAATGTCCTCCCACCAGATGTCAAAGAGAAAAACAACTACCAGACTTTTAGGAGTCATCTGAAGGCAGCCCTGTTTAGGGAAGCTTTTAATGTTTGACGGACTATTGTATTTTAATATTTTGTTGGAAGCCACCCAGAGTGGCTGGGGAAACCCTGCCAGATGGGCAGGGTATAACTAATAAATTATTATTATTGCCTCTGAACCCACTAACCACTGGCAGGTTGCCCTGATGGAAATGGCTGTTTACCTGATCACAGGGTGGGTGGCTGTTGTGACCAGTTGTACCAGCCTCCTCCCCCTTGAGAGCAACATCAAGGTGAAACATGGAAGAATTTCCAGGCTGGCTGGGGGCTTTCCCGCCATAGCCTTATTTGACTCCTGGCCAATCTCGCCAGGCCAGGTGAGAAGGGTGTGGGGCCCTATAAAGGCTGGCTGCAACTGACCCCATGGGCCATGGAGCTTCCTTCAGTGGCTTGGGAGGGTCATATGTGTAGACCTGTGGCTTGTGGATGAGTGGTTAATCCTGGTTTTGACCCTGCCCTCCACCAGGGAGGCTGTGAAGGATATACACCCAGTGCCTAAGCAAAGTCCAACCTACATACGGACTCAATAAAGTTGTGGTCAATTTTTAAATCCCAGAACATTGTCTTGTCCAGTCTGTTCACTCTCTTGGCTCAGGCCTTGCTTCCTGGGAGGGTGGAGTCACTGCGAGTGTGGCCCTTTGCCTGAGAAAGATCCCCTGCCTCTGATCTAAGGAGCTCTCTCAAAATAAACAAATGAGTCCCACAAGGTTCTTGCCCTTTATGTGCCGCTGGTTAATGGTCAGTGGCTGTCTGTTGCAGCGTTTGTTTGCGTGGACAGGCGGAGTCCCCAGATCCCGAGCGGTCCCCCCCGTCATGTGGAATAATGACTCAAGACAACGTGCTAAGGGATTAAATTGGCCACAACTTTATTAAATTTCAAATGTGGGTAGACCTTGGCTCAGGCATTGGGCGTTCTCCCTCCCCAGTCCCCAGCCGGGGACCTAGGGAGCATCAGGGTTATCCAGTGTGTGTGGGGGGGATGGGCCAGCTCTGGAGAACATATGTTCAAGCAGAGATAGCCGCCCTTGTTACGACGCCGCCGCAGGGGAGAACAATGACGACCTTTTGGCGTACGGTCAAAGCCTCCCTTCAGAAACCCCTTTAACAGGGAACCCTGGTATCGCCGCCGCAAAGAGGAAGATGGACTAAAGGATTCCGCCCAAGGCCTGATACCGCCAAAGTTGTGACATTTTGCTACGGGAAAGGCGAAACCTGCCAATGCAGGGAAATTCCTTTCCGGCCCTTTAACAGCGACCTTAACATAGCAGCGCCCGCATACCGGTGAAGAAAAGTTACCTGTAAAACCAGTGAAGAAAAGTTAACCTGCAAAGAAGACATTAACCGAGGGTGGGCAGGGTGGGAGAAGCTCTGGAGCCAAGTGAGGATTCCCAGGTAAGATCCTCTCTCTATTGTGTGGGCAGGTAATCCCTCCCCTACCTGGCCTGGTCTCCTTGGCAACGCTTCCCCCAGGTGGGATTGGACAACTGACTGAGGTAGGCGGAGACCTCCAGGTATCCCACCTGAGGGAAGGCAAAGCCAAGCCTATGCTGATGGGGCCGCTCCAGATCTAGGGGCTGCGCGCGTCCACGCAAAGGGCGCCCCCCGTTTTAAGCGGGGAGCGGTCATTCCTTCCTAAATCCGGGTTGTTGTTGGTGAGCATTGCTTTTCAAAAATGCTGCCATTGCCTCTCTGTTTATTGGCTCCAGGCTGTGTATGTCGACGCTGAACGTTAACAGCGATTCCAAGCTGCACTTGGTGACTTTTGTAAAATGTCACTGCACTTTGCTTCCTCGCCACTGCCGCAGCAACCGAGCGAGTGAACACGGCATGGCTAATTTGTGGTACATGGTAGCAATTACTCCAGTGATAAACAGGGCTGCACGTGCCACTTCAGATAAGACCTGAATTAGCCTGAATCTAAACCCTTTGGACATCCATCAATCCAGAGGGCTAGAGGTGCTTGGCAAGCGAGCCTAGGCTATTTGGTGTTCTCTGCTAAGGCAAAAAATGAGTGTTTTGCAAGACTAAACTGCAGCTGCATGGTACCCTGTTTGCTGTTACCTTGAAATTCATAGGAGGGATGCATAGTGCCAAAATCCAGGATTAGTAAAGGTTAGCATCTCATTTGAGATTATTTATGAGAACCTCTAGTTCCGTTTCAGACCAAACCTGGCTGAGTCTTCAGAGCTCTGAAAACAGATTAAGGGCTTGCTTGGGATCAGCCCAGGCTGAGACTGTGGATGGCTGCTTCCTAGTCTAGAGTACCAGACCATACACTTTATAGAGCAGTGCTCCTGAAATCAGCAGCCAAAGCTGAGAGCAGAAAGCAGAAATTACTGCTCTTTGGCACAGGTGAAGGCAGAAGGCTAGACTCATTCTGTCTGAAATCTGAACCCAGAAGTTTCAAACTGTTTAGCAATCTCTGACATCCCCATTCCCTCTGAGGTCTAAAGAATATACTAGTAGCAGCTCACTAGGAAAGGCCTCAGTCTCTGACTCTCTCGTCCCTTACCTGCGCTGATGTACCAGGGGTTTTAAACTCCTGATCAGACCATGGCCTTGCCAATGGTTCTGTGTGCCACCCTCCATCTGAGATGATTTGGCTTCTGCCATTAAGGTAGCATGGCATCTCTCTGGCTCCACAATCCATCTCCAGATTGTAAAAGGAGTTATGGATTGTGGAATCAGGAAGGTCCATCCTCTCAAATTCAAATGTACACAGTACAGCCCAGTCCACTGGTTACTTCTACTGAATGGTAGTGGAAGGGGCATGAAATGCATATGAGAGACTGAGACTGAAATCCTCTACAAAAAGGATGGGCAACCTGTGGTCCACCACATTTTGTGGACTACAACTCCCTTCATCCCTGACCATGTCTGGAGTCTTGAGGGCCACAAATTTCCCATTGCAGCTATTCACACTTAGCAGGGACTCTGTGAGTAGGTCCCATTCACAGTTCAGTAGCACTGACTTCTGAGTAGACACACATAGGATTGTGCTGAGAGACTGTTTATTACTTGGCTGAGATTTCCTTGTGGAGTGACATCAGAGCTATCATAATATTCCTATTGACGATGATAATGATGGTTTTGGCACATATTGCGCTATACCCAAAGTTGCAGAGAAGTGCCGTATTGACCTTTTCTACAACGGCTTTGAAAGATGGATTTAGTTTACTCCCTACAGAGAGGGTGGGAAACCAATTCTTTAATACCTCAAGAGTTATCTTGTCACTCCCTCCTAATAAACGCTCACTTAAATGTATCCTGTTTGAGAAGCTAATAATGAAAAGCACTCACGATAATTTATACTGATAGGTTGCACTTATGTGTGAGTCAGAACCTGCATCAAATCTGCTCTGTGGATTCCATAGACAAAATGAGTGCTCAGCGTTGCCTAAATGACATTTGAATAGAGCCAAGATTGTTAATTTAACAGAGGAGTCCAACAGGATCATAAAGCAGAAACAACAAATGACGGCCCATTTGACTAAACCTGATGTTTGCCATGGAACTAACAACCTGGATTGGTCCATTATGATGTCTCTTATCCCCTTCTCTCCTGTTCAGCTAGCTATATTCCCACAACCATGTTTAGTTCTATGGAGGACACTCAAAAGCTTAAACTAACCTCTGCAGAAAAACACTATGCTTTTAAGATGAAAGGAATGATACCCAGAAGACAGACAACCTCAAGTCATTCAAGCAGATGAACAAGCAAGCACAGGAAAATAAACACAGACTAGTTTCAAAGGAAACAAAAGTTGGAGACTAAAGGTAAACTCAGAAGAAACTTTTAAAAAAGAAAACAGTGTGACAAAAAGAGAAACCAATTGGAAATATTTTTGGAATAACAGTGGATGAAAATAGGAAAAGGTGAGTTTTAGATAAGAAAAGTATCCACATAATGATTCAGCCATGCTTCATATTCTCAGAGTTTAATAGGCTTGAAAGAAAGAGAAAGACTTGAATACCTGATTGACATTTGGATGGACATTTTATTTTGGGTCAGATCCAAAGTGGAGTTGCATTTTGCTTCAGTTTCTGAAGGCTTGTATGTCTTCTCCATAGACTATAATGGGAAGATCAACAAGTGCCTATGATGAGTTTTGGGTTGTTGTTGTTGTTGTTGTTGTTGTTCTTGTCGTCATCATCATCATCATCATTTACTGAATTTATATACCACCCTATACCCAGAAGTCTCAGGGTGGTTAGGATAAAATGATCACAGTATATAAAATAAAAATAAAAGCAATAACCCAATAATACCCCCCCCCCAAGAGCCACATTTTAAAAGGGTATGGGATGGGTTTGGGGGTTGTTGTCGTTTGGTATTTTGGCAGAACTAGATGACATTCATAGCATCAAAGTTCCTTTAGATAAGTCCTGGATTTATGGAGTTATAAAAAATTGAAGCTTCAAAAATACTTTGCTTTTCTCAATTCACATTAAAATAACAAGAAATTAAAATCACCGTCAGTAGTGGTCTGGTGAAGGAAGCAATACAAACCCCACTTAGTAAAACATTTTTCTTTTTCAACTGATGTGATTTGAAGTTACAAATTTAGCATCATATCTAGTTTGGCTCTGGCAAAAGAAAGCGACCATTAAAACACACAAACACAAAATCCAAGAATAAATGTCAACAGAGGAATGCCATTGTTAAGTTGTGGGTGAACATATCAGACGACACAGCGATTCTTCAAACAGCTCTTGTTTATTCACAGGCCAGAACAGAACTGAACTGAACTGAAGGGTTCAGGCAGCCTGCTTATATAGAGCTCCACTACAATGCAACAGTAACCATTTTCTGTAACTATCCAATCACTGAACGTCACTTTCAATCCCTTATTTGAATATGTGGACCTGAGTGAAAACTATCTACAGTATCCCCCTGCTGGCCCAGGGTGAGAACTTCAGTACATAACAGCCATGGTTATGTGTGCCTCAGCTGCTTGCTCCCATTCATGCCACAACATACAATCAATAAAAGTGAATGGCTGAGGTGCACAATCAAGGAAGAATTTGGCCCAAGCTGCTGCTGCTGTTGCCACCAGGAAGGAGGCTGTCAAATATCTCTCCGCTTGTGTCTTGGTGCACAGAGGAAGGAGTCAGTGGCTCCCCACTTAGCTCTTGCTCAATTTTTTTGAAAATGAGCTTATGGGGCACGGGGGGCAGGCACGATATTGCTAGCCAGGCCTCAATAACCCTCTGCCTAGATAAATTTTCCAGTATTTGGAAAGGAATATGCCACCCCCACCCCCCACTTACGAACAAGTCCTACTGAAACAGAACTTACGCATTGATTTCATTAGTTATAACACATTTCCATGTCCTTTTAAAGGAATCGTCAGCAAGGCATTCGCCTCAATCTCGCCTGCGCTGTAATGTAAGGCAGCCTGGTGTACGATCTCTCTGCCCGTACTAAGACATCCTTTGCACGTCCTCTGATGTTCCTACGTTCCCCAAAGGATATTGTTTTCTTAATAGCGTATCAAAAAAGAAATCATGCAGTTAAAACCTTTACTGAAAGTTGGGCAGCAAATTCAAAACCATTTTCATCAGCCTTTACATAAACTTTAAAACACAAGCACACATTCTCTTAGGTCACTGTGGAGAGCAGTGGAACCACCTCCTTATATTTTTAATTGCTCTCCGAGTATTCTTTGATAAAGCAGACTTGCATTAATACACAGGACTGCAGGAGACACTGTACAAAATCAGCAACAACTTTGGATCAAATATTTATTAGATGGTGGATGCAGCAAGAATCTACTGAGAGGTGTGCTCCCAGAGAGCATATTTTAGCTCTAGGCTTGAGAAACTCTTAACTACCATGGTGGTTTATTTGAAACGGTAGGTTTTGCAAGGTTAGGTTGCTGAGCTGTTACACAATCACATTCAATTAAGCAGCTGGAATTGTATTATCCAAGCACTTGGGACATACATGCGAGCAACTATTTTTGTTTTTTAAGGATAAAGGTTTAATAAAGCCACTAACAGAGAGCCTATGAAATTGCAAGCTGTGATGGCATAATCTCCATGGGAAGAGGTGCCTTTGAAATGATAAAACAAACAGCTTTCCCCATTCCATTTTCTACAACTGGGTCACGAAAGGACACTGTATCTCTGTTGCCAGGCAAAGAAAAGAGCCCTAAGACATAAGGTTTGCCCACCTTCCCCATTCCTGATATTGAAAACTGAATGTGTGTGTTTGTGTGCTTTAAAAAAAATCAAAACATCATCATATTACATATACAAGTCACATCTGACTTGACAAAATGTTCGAATCCAAATGGGTATCAATCAAATCTTTATGCCCACCATACCCAATTGGTTATGTGTAACAACTCATGAATGAAAACATAACAAGGGTGTGTCTGTATTACTTACACCATGGGTAGGCAAGCTAAGGCCCAGGGGCCAAATCCGGCCCAATCATTTTCTCAATCCGGCCCATGGACGTGTTTTTACATGAGTAGAATGTGTCCTTTTATTTAAAATGCATCTCTGGGTTATTTGTGGGGCATAGGAATTTGTTCATTTTTTTCCCCAAAAAATAGTCCGGCCCCCCACAAGGTCTGAGGGACAGTGGACCGGCCCCCTGCTGAAAAGGTTTGCTGGCCCCTGACTTACACTAATCAATTAATAAGTTTTATAGCCAGTCCTCAGTGAATCCATGCCATAGACAGAGGTATTGAATGCCTCAATTAAAGCCTCTGTCCTATTATGTGTGTCACGTACAGTTCAAATGTCAAGTCATAAGGAAAAGTAATAATGACTAAGAAGTCCTTAGAATCTTACATATTATTGAATATGAAAGACCTCTAAATTTTGACTTATAAATATTAGGGCAGCCTACTTTTCCCATTCTCAATGATAATTAGAAATTGTTTTTTTCTCTCTCATTGGACCACATGTTTTCCCCCAGAAACATGCTAGGCTGTTTCCTTCCTGTGACCAGTGGATGGCACCATATAATTCTGGAATTTAATAACTGTTTTTTCACATTACTAGAGATTTGGTAAAAATGATAGGATGCTTTTAAACCTCTAATTGGCGTCTTTTCCCTAGGTATTTTTGTAAAAACCAATGCTACAGTAAAGTATTCAAAACCTATACTGTGTTTACACTCAATGTTATGATAGTTTGGTGTTAAAACTGTTGGCCTACAGATTATTGATTTTGCTTTATTACCCACCAATGAAAGCAGAATCAGGCCAATATTTCCTGAAATAATTAAGGCGGAATACAATAAAATCCACTTCAGAAATCACTTCTTGACTGATGAGATACAATACTGCCCTTTTTATTGCAAAAAAAGAAGTTTCTTTTACTGCAGAATTTCTGTAAATACTACAATATGCTTTGTCTCAAAGAAGATTAAACTTGTAAGTAAATATGTTCATTTGAGATGTCGTTTTTCACTGTCTATACAAGTTTCAAAAATCATTTTAATCCAAATTCTCAGCTTCTCCCACAATAACAGCCAAGTGATAGATAGCAGTGAGTGAAAGAAAGTTCTTATTACTCATCCAAACTGAAAATGCGGTTGAGTCAACTTGCCAATGACTTTCAAACTAAGTTGGAGCCAAATATCTGCCACTATAGCCCCCTTTGGTCTTAAATATTGCTCTCTCTTCCTCCCTATGAAACCCATCCACATTTTGATGGCTGTATGAGTATACAGCCTTGCTCCTCTGTGACAGGAAGGAAAAGTGTGATCCACCAGGTGGATCTACAACCTCTGACAGAAAATAGACATCCACAGTTAGTTAATGGAGTATGTTGTTGTCGTTTAGTCGTGTCCGACTTTGTGACCCCACGGACCAGAGCATGCCAGGCACTCCTGTCTTCCACTGCCTCCCGCAGTTTGGTCAAACTCATGCTGGTAGCTTTGAGAACTCTGTCCAACCATCTCGTCCTCTGTCGTCGCTTTCTCCTTGTGCCCTCCATCTTTCCGAATATCAGGGTCTTTTCTAGGGAGTCTTCTCATCTCATGAGGTGGCCAAATCATTGGAGCCTCAGCTTCAGGATCTGCCCTTCCAGTGAGCACTTAGGACTGATTTCCTTAAGAATGGAGAGGTTTGATCTTCTTGCAGTCCATGGGACTCTCAAGAGTCTCCTCCAGCACCATAATTCAAAAGCATCAATTCTTCGGCAATCAGCCTTCTTTATGGTCCAGCTCTCACTTCCATACATCACTACTGGGAAAACCATAGCTTTAACTATATGGACCTTTGTGGGCAAGGTGATGTCTCTGCTTTTTAAGATGCTGTCTAGGTTGTCATTGTCACTGCCTTGCTGTGGCGAAGGGGCTTGAATAACTCAGAGAAGCTATGAGCTAAGCCGTGCAGGGCCACCCAAGATGGACAGGTCATAGTGGAGAGTTTTGACCAAACGTGAGCCACCTGGAGCAGAAACCGGCAAGCCACTCCAGTATCCCTGCCAAGAAAACTCCATGGACAAAGACAACAGGCATATAATGGTAGGTAGGTAGACAACATCTTGCTGGGAATGGTGCTGTAAACATTGGCTGTCTGGGACTGCATCTTCTAGAGTGGAGAAGACATGGGCTGAATCTACACATATATTTTTAAAAATTGCTCTGAAAATGCTTTTTTAAAAAATGTTTTAAAATATATATTGAATTTGCCATTAGCTCACCATCACCATCTAGTGTCACATTTGTATAATGGACTTAAAACGCACTTAAAACATTCTATTTGCAGCTGCATAGCAGAATGCTCTGCGAGTGCAGCTTTCTCCCGATTGAAGTGCAGAGTGTTTGAGGACTGGGACATTCGCAGCGAAACCAAAATACTTGTAATATAATAATAATAATAATAATAATAATAATAATAATAATTTATTATTTCTACTCTGCCTATCTGGCTGCGTTTCCCTAGTCACTCTGGGCGGATTTCAACAGAATACTAAAAACAGAATAAAACTTCAAATATTAAAAACTTCCCTAAACAGGGCTGCCTTCAGGTGTCTTCTAAAAGTCAGTGTTGAAGCAACATCAACTTCATTGGACTAGTCATGTTGTTCAGATGCCTGATTATCATCTTCCAAAGCAACAACTCTATTCCGAACTTAAAAATGGAAAGCGTAATGCTGGTGGTCAACAAAAGAGGTTTAAGTACTCTCTCAAGGGAAATCTAAAAAAAAACGTAGTATAAACACTGACAATTGGGAAACAGTGGCCTTCAAGTACTCCAATTGGAGAACAGCCTTTACCAAAAGTGTCATGGGCTTTGGAGATGCTCAAACTCAAGACGAAAGGGAGAAACATGCTAAGAGGAAGACACGTTTGGCAAACCCTCACTGTGATCAACTCCTGCCCAGAAAACTATGCCCCCACTGTGGAAGGAGATGTGGATCCAGAATTGGCCTCCACAGTCACTTATGGACTCACTGTTAAGACCATGTTTGGAAGACAATCTGACTCGGCTACAAGTAATTGCCAGAGAAGAAGAGTCCATGGTGGAGTTTCTCTATCCTTCATCCTGCCTCTTGAGGTTCAAAACACAAGCAGTACATAGCATCCAACTTTAATTCAAATGTAAGATTAATGGTGACTCACATTTCCATTTTAACTTTTTCCTTCAAACTTAGTCAGTTTCTACCTATCATCTCCAACAGGGATGGGGAATAGGTGCTCTTCCAGAGGCTGTCAGATGGCAACTCCCATCCTCCCTGACCATCACTGATTTGGAGGGTCACAGGCATTGTCGATCGATAGTATTTTCAGTGCTGTATCATTCCAATGAAATACTGACCTACAAGAAGAGAGGTATAATGGTTTAAATTGACACAGAAATGAAAAATGACTGAAGGTATATTACAGAAGGTTCGACCTGGGTTTTTTTCCATGGGGCTGTATTAAAACCAAGGAGAGCTCTTGCTAAGTTAATGATTAACTAACTGATTGTTGCTCTCTGGTAGCTAACATGTGAGTGTTGTAACCTTATATTGTGTGATAAAGATACTGAGTTGCAAATCTCCATTTTGAAGGGAGTTTCCTTTGCATCTTTTCTCCCAAACTCAATGGAGTATGTAAGAAGTATGAAGTATGAAGATGTAAAAGAAGCTCTCCTGAAGGGAGAATAAACTGTATGGAGGCTGGAATGCAGGCTCTGGAGAGAAAGGGACCTTTACTTTTAGGCCTGTTTGGTTTATTTCATATTTTGTAAGATGGTGAGCCTGTGCTGGACACCACAATACATTGTCTGGATATTTTGGACATATCATTTGATGCATTCTGTTTTATTTTAAAGAGTTCTGCCAGTAAATGTTTGAATAATATTTTTATGGGTCTGGACAATGATTTATTCCAAAAGGAGTCAGTTCTTATGCTTCCACTCACTTCAAACTGCATGATACCAATATCTGCAACAGAAAAGAACTCTGTTATTGTTCAGGGCAATTGAACACAAATATTCCAAGTGGTTCAACTCCTAAAAACATTAGGCCCCAAATGAGAAAAGACAGCGGGACACATTTCAAATGTCATTCTCATTTTTCAGATTTGGTTGTTTCTTCAGTAATGAAAACAGATTAAAAGAATTATCTCCAATTAGGCAGTATATAATGCATCCTTCCTTTACATATACATGCACACCTAAAGTGAAGAGTGTCTGTATTTATGCAAGAGAGCAGCAGGAAAGCCCCTACTTCAAATCTTATCTTTGCTATAACATCACTAGGCATCCTTTCAAGAGTCACTATGCTCTAAATCTTAAAGTAATATTGCGGATTACTGGGGATTACTAGAAGCCTGCTTGAGGTGGGAGTGGGGGAAAGTCTGATATTTCCAAATTCAGTCCATATCCGCCTTCCACCTCACTTCTGACCATTGGTTCTTTTTCTCTCATCTTTTTAGGCTCCCAGGTTGCTGCAATGACCTGGCCCTTCTGATAGTCAAGAGTACATTGCTTTAGATTCATAGGTTCTATGCTGCCCTGGATGCCATACTCATTGCCTTCCCAAAGGCAGCTGTCTAGCCACTGGATGCTGCACTAAATAAACCCTCAGCCTGATGCAGCCTGGTTCTTTCTTCATACCCTCCAACATTTCTCCCATGAAAATGGGTATGTCCTATCCTGCATTACTATTATTATTTCTCAAATATCCTTTATTAGGCATAGCAAACCACACATTATCAAACAAACACCGTATACAAATTGTGCAAAATACAAGCGCAACATAACAAGGCTTGTCCCAGTCAGATCTTTAATTCCAGAGGAAATCAATTTGCATAAATAATACAATACAACCACTAAATCTCTTTATAATGGCCCAGTCTTTCTACATGGACAGCACTCAAGAATTAAGCTACTATTTAAGTAATTTGATTATTACTGTCCGAAAGCAGGTCCTGAACCGTTGGTAGTGTAGAAATCAGTCTGTTGAGTTGTAAGGCCTCTAATAATTGTCTTCTGGCATAAATGCCAAAATCACAAGAAAAGAAAATATGCTGCTGCTGTTGGTAATATATCCCGCTTGGACTACTGCAATGTGTTCTACGTGGGGCTACGTGAATGGGAAAGGCTGCTGGGACCATATAACACCAGTTAAAGGATCTACATTGGTTCCTGGTACATTTCCAAGCACAGTTCAAAGCATTGGCACTGACCTTTAAAGCCCAAACAGCTTTCGCCCTGGATACCTGAAGGAGTGTCTGCACTCTTCTCATTCAGCCCAGACACTGAGATCTAGCCCAAGGGCCTTCTGGCGGTTCCCTCACTGTGAGAAGCAAGATTACAGGGAACCTGGCACAAGGCCTTCTCAACAGTGGTGCCCACCCTCCCATCAGATGTCAAGGAAATAAACAAAGTCTTCTGACTTTCAGAAGACATCTGAAGGCAGCCCTGTTCGGGAAAGTTTTTCTTTTTTCATTTAAAAATAATTTATTGGTCACAGCATATATTTCAAACATTCTCATAATCTTAAAAACCATAAAATAAAATATCACATGCTCCAATCTCATTAAAAGGAAGGAATACATTATATTTGCAACAATTTGAAAGGTTGAAATATATACTTCAAGTATTCCAAACTCAGGAAAGTTTTTAACGTTTGATGTCGTATTGTGTTTTGAATTGTTTGAAACCACACTGAGTGGCTGGGTAACCTAGTTAGATGGGCGGCATATAAATAAATTATTATTATTATTATTATTATTATTATTATTATTATTATTAATGTTCTGGCTATGTTACTGGGTTGCCCCTGTCACTCTAGGTAGCTTCCAGCATATAATAATAATAATAATAATAAAACTATACAGAGCTGCCTTCAGATGTCTTCTAAAGGTTGTATAGTTACTCATCTCCATGGCTCAGGGGTCACATAATTCCATACACTCCAACATTTCTCCGATGAAAATAGGGACGTCCTAAGGAAAAGCGGGAGATTCTGGGATCAAATCAGAAGCCAGGATGGCTTTTGTAAATCTGGGACTGTCCCTAAAAATAGGGACACTCAGAGGGTCTGCATCTTATGTGCCTCTTTTTGTAACAAGTGCTTTGAGATATTGCAGTTTTCTGCTCTTGCTTGGTTCTCTTCGAGGGAGAGGAAATCAGTCGAAGCAAAGCGCTACCAGAACCCCGGGGACATCTACATCCATGCCGAGGCTACGGGGACTACTCTTCTGTTGTTTGGAATCTGTTATGTTGCTATTTTCTAACGCAGTGGAGAGTCTGAACTATAAGCTAACTTTGTATTGAGGCAGATGGTCTGTGGGTGTGCAAAGTAAGAATTGAGCTTTACCAAAACTGGTAGATGGTGAAAGCAGCAGGTCAGAATCATTTTTAAAGCTGCTTTAAAAGGAAAGGAGAGGGAGAGATGTCGTGCCTCCCTAGTATTCCGTTGCTTGCAAAACATTTTACCTCATGTCTAGCTTCAAGCTGTTGTCATGATCTGGATTTTTGCCACAGCTATGGCTGCTGGATGTTTTTGCCTGCAGTCCTCTGCACAATGTCCTCAGTGGGATGTTAACATTCTTAGATGAGAAAAATGCCACAGCCTTTGTCTACACAACACAAAAGGAAATCAGTGGTCATGGAGGTGTTTTGCTATCGGTAAGATTTTGTAAAAGGCCAGAACAAGACATTACATCAGGGTGGGGGACCTCCAGTTTGCAGGCCAAATTATGGGTCTTAATTTTGCCTATGAGGTCATTTTATCCAAACCATCTCCACCTGCCCCACACCTGACATCAAAGCTTCTGCTGGTTCCTTGACCAGCAAGGATTGCTGCCAGCACCAATTCCAGACCCTCCAAGTCTCCCTATTCTCCAGGGACAGCTCTGGATTTACAGAAGCCATCCCAGTTTCTGATTTGATCCAGCAACGTCCCGCTTTTCCTTAGGATGAAGAAGGCTGATCACTGAAGGATTGATGCTTTTGAATTATGGTGCTGGAGGAGACTCTTGAGAGTCCCATGGACTGCAAGAAGATCAAACCTATCCATTCTCAAGGAAATCAGCCCTGACTGCTCACTGGAAGGACAGATCCTGAAGCTGAGGCTCCAATGATTTGGCCACCTCATGAGAAGAGAAGACTCCCTGGAAAAGACCCTGATGTTGGGAAAGATGGAGGGCACAAGGAGAAGGGGATAACAGAGGACGAGATGGTTGGACAGTGTTCTCGAAGCTACCAGCATGAGTTTGAGCAAACTGCGGGAGGTGGTGGAAGACAGGAGTGCCTGGCATGCTCTGGTCCATGGGGTCACGAAGAGTCGGACATGACTAAACGACTAAACAACATTTTCATCGGAGAAATGTTGGAGGCTATGGCATTAAGCGACCCACCGAGCCAAGAAAATAAGCAACTATACTTCTTTGTTTTGAAATCATTTTGATTTTACAAAAATAAATTTATAACAATCCAATTCATATCCATATATAGAAATTACTCTGAATCTTGAGACTTCCCTCATCTGCTCCATGGGTCCTATTGTCAACATTTACAAATGCATATTATTCCATAACCTATATTTTGTATCTATCCATAGCATTTGTTACATTACAAAAGAGATTAAAATCCTGCTAATGTTTTCATGTGCTTGCACTGGTCTCTTAAATAAATCATACATTTTCCCCATTCATTTTAAAAAGTTTTTGTCCTGTTGGTTCCAAGAGGGTGATACAACCTTTAGAAGACATCTGAAGGCAACTCTGTTGGGTTTTTTTAAAAAAAAGTTTAATGTTTTATTATGTTTATATAAATGTTGGAAGTCAAACAGAGTGGCTGGGGCAACCCAGTCGGATGGCTGGGGTATAAAACAACAACAAGAAGAATAACAGTTATTATTAAATAGGGCATCCCTATTTTCACTGGGGGACGTGGGTGGTGCTGTGGGTTAAACCACAGAGCCTAGGGCTTGCTGATCAGAAGGTCGGCGGTTCGGATCCCAGCGAAGAGGTGAGCTCCCGTTGCTCGGTCCCAGCTCCTGCCCACCTAGCAGTTCGAAAGCACATCAAAGTGCAAGTAGTTAAATAGATACCACTCCGACGGGAAGGTAAACGGTGTTTCCGTGCGCTGCTCTGGTTCGCCAGAAGCAGCTTAGTCATGCTGGCCACATGACCCGGAAGCTGTATGCCGGCTCCCTCGGCCAAGAAAGCGAGATGAGCGCCGCAACCCCAGAGTCGGCCACAAATGGACCTAATTTCACTGGAGAAATGTTGGAGGGTATGCACACAGAAAATGTCAGCTTGTTGGTTTTGTTTTCCCTTCTTGAGAGGATTTTTTTTTTTTTTTACACATCTGATTCTTGGTGACATGCTGTGTTTGGGGCCTTTTTGTAGTTCAGTAACATGACAAAGGCACCGAATTAGCTTAAATTGCTTGCCTGCGGTCTAACTGTGAGGTACTGTCTCTCAGCCCATGCCAAGGCCTATCTATGCCTGGGCTTGGTTAGCTCCCGGTTCTTTTTGCTACCCACAGTAGCACACTGCTGGCAGTCTTATCTTCAGTTGGTGACAAAAAATATTCAGAGCAGTTACTCATGTTATAACCCCTTTCCTCCCACATTAACTCTGGGGCTGGTTTCTGTGATGGATTGGAGAACATTAGCTGCTGCCTCACCCCCACCCTACCCACCTCCCGTGCAAACAGAAAAGGATGAAAGGGAAAGAAGGAGTGAGCTCTGGGTGTTACCTGGTAACTGCAGATAAAGCAGCCTGCTGAATAGACATTTGCGAGTGGAGTGGTTTCTGTCACATGTGTGGTGCATATTAATCCAAAGTCCTAGATAAGGGGGCTGGGAATGCACACAACATATTTTTACACCATAATAGTTTATGGGGAAACTTTACTAGTTTGTTTCCCTGCGTGTTGTTTCTATAGCACTTTTCACCGTTGTCACAAGGATCCACACACAAACACTGTTGACACTAGCAGATCCTCCAAGTGTCCCTATTTTCCAGGGACAGTCCTGGATTTACAGAAGCCATCCTGGTTTCTGCCTTGATCCCAGAATGTCCCACTTTTCCTTAGGACGTTCCTATTTTTATGGAAGAAATGTTGGAGAGTTTGGAGGGTATGGTAAAGGTAAAGGTAAAGGGACCCTGACTGTTAGGTCCAGTCGCAGACGACTCTGGGGTTGTGGTGCTCATCTCGCTTTACTGGCCGAGGGAGCTGGCATTTGTCCGCAGACAGCTTCCAGGTCATGTGGCCAGCATGACTAAGCCACTTCTGGCGAACCAGAGCAGCGCACAGAAACGCCGTTTACCTTCCTGCTGGATTGGTACCTATTTATCTACTTGCACTTTGACATGCTTTCGAACTGCTAGGTTGGCAGGAGCAGGGACCGAGCAACGGGAGTTCACCTCGTCACAGGGATCTGAAGCACCAACCTTCTGATCGGCAAGCCCTAGGCTCTGTGGTTTAGACTACAGCACCACTTGCGTTGGGTATAGTAGGACATCCCTATTTCTTTTCTTTTTGCATTTTCCGTTACAAACATTCATTTCTTTCACTGTGATATTCTACTTTACCCCATCAGCTCTTTTGAGCCTCTAATACAATATCTAATACAATGATAATTATTGATTACAGCCATGAAACATCTCTAGTTATTTCCTATCAAAAGAAGACTTCCCAGCCTATCTTTCCTTGACATACTAAATTTCCATTTGGTTTTGCTGTGACTCCTTGTTTGATGCCCCCGCCCCCTTTTCTTTTACAACCATACCTTGGAAGTCGAATGGAATCCATTCCGGAAGTCTATTCAACTTCCAAAATGTTCGGAAACCAAAGCACGGGTTCTGATTGGCTGCAGGAAGCTTCTGCAGCCAATCAGAATCCGTGGAAGCCCTGTTGGATGTTCAGCTTCCAAAAATAGTTCACAAACCGGAACAGTCACTTCCAGGTTTGTGTCATTCCAAAGCAAAAACGTTCGAGAACTAAGCTGTTTGAAAACCAAGGTATGATTGTATATCTTTTACCCCTTCTTTTGCTGATGTTCATATATCTGTCCCTGCTTGTATATTTAACACTATTCCACTTTTTAAAAATATTTTTTTCTAGTAATTCTCACTCACTTATTATTTTCATAACCATTTTTCTTATTGTAGCCATCATATTGGCTAATTCTATAAATTCTATTAATTTAAACAGCCACTGATATTTTGTCCGTATTGCCTTTTCTTTCTACATTTTCGCTCCTGATGTCGCGTAGATAGTTTTTTAGTTTTGATTGGGAGTTTTTGTCCACTTGGGGCTAGCAGGAATGCTTCTGGGGGGGGGAATGAACATTGGAGCATCTTCTTAAGTTCTTCATGGACCATCCCCCAAAATTCTTTCCCCCTTTTACACTGCCACCACATGTGGATTAACGTACCTCCTGCATACTATTTCCATCATACGGTATGGAGTCATGCGACCCCTGAGCCAAGGAGATAAGGTACAGCTTGGAACAGCTGCTCTGAGTAATGACCACATGCTATTTGAAACATGGGAAGGGGATCTGCACCTCTTGTCCCATTCTCAATGGTGTTACCACATGGCTGTGCACACTTCCTTCTTTTGAAAATGCTATTAAGGCACGGTTCCCACAACGCCTGCACTGCACAGGATTCCTCTTAGCCATCCCCAGCTGCATGGACAAAGAGTTGTTTTCAGAAGGTTCCCACCATGTGTGCCCATTACATGTGGAGAGGGAACAACTCCTCCTGTTGGCCCTGTCAGGACCTCGTCCTACACTTGAGTAGGACCCTGGCAGAGACTCGTGCCCGACTGGCATGTTCTCTCCCTCCTGGTTGATCGTTCGGGAGCTTCAAAAGCTTTCTTCAGCCCAAACATCACAGCGACCGATGCCAACAGACATTGGCACACTTAGGGATCCACAGAGTCTTCGCAGCTTGCGTGACAGACCTCAGCAACTCAGCATTTTGGCTAATCTACTTTATTACATATAAACACACACAGAGCACTGCAACATGGCTCCCTCTCTCTCTAGCATCAGACCGCAAAGAGAGAAAGAATAAAGGACAATAGTCTCACTTCACGGAACACAGTAACACAAACATCCTGTCTCCGTCACTTCCCACTCTGTGGAGTCAAAACATACACCGTCATGTGATAGAGAAAAATCCCATGACTGCAATTATTGAGCAAGAATTCTAACAGGCCCCACCAGACCCTCCAAGTGTCCCTATCTTCCAGGGACGTCCCTGATATAGGGAAGCTGTCCCAGTTTCTGATTTGGTCCCTCTTTTCCTTAGGACGGGCATAGGAAAACTCAGCCCTCCAGATGTTTTGGGACTACAACTCATCATCCCTGACCACTGGTCCTGTTAGCTAGGGATCATGGGATTTGTAGTCCCAAAACATCTGGAGGTCCAAGTTTGCCTATGCCTGCCTTAGGATATCCCTATTTTCACTGGAGAAATGGAGGGTAAGAATTTATCTGACCCCCCCCCCCGAGCCGTCTGAAGGTAATCCTGTATAAGGAAGTTTTTTTAAAAAAAATGTTTAAGGTTTTATTATGTTTTGATATACTGTATGTTGGAAGCTGCCCAGAATGGCTAGGCCAACCCAGTAAGATGTGTGGGGTATAAATAGTAAAATTATCATTGTGGAATGGGACGTCCCTATTTTCATCAGGGAAATGTTGGAGGGTATGCCCCACACATGATGTCATGTGCTTCCTAGGCCCCACCCCTAATGTCCATGAGTGGGGCATCAGCAAAAGGAATCCTACACAAATGCATCCCGTTGCAATGTACGTATGAGCATCACGAAGAGTAGGGACTTCATTGTGTGTCCATTCCCTCTACTTAAACTTAGCGTCCATGTGCAAATGGCCTTCAGAAAAGGTCACCTTCCCTGTAATTTGTGCAATCATAGCCACTTTAAAGTGTGCCCCTGCAATCACACAATGTATCTATTGTATGTCACATAATACATTATTTTCCATGCCCTCTTTGTACCTGGGAATAGTCAAGAAAGTATGCATGCAGGCTAATTGCCTATGCAAACCAACCCTCAATTATATAACTTTATTTTTAAAAATCTTCTTTTTTTTTCATCTGCATCATTCAACACAGCCTCTTTTTCTTTCCTTCTCACAAACATTAAAAGTAGAGCCAAATTGGCTACCTTACCACATATTATTTTGCTCAGTCTTGCCATTTATATGTATTTTTACGGGGGGGGGGCAGGAGCTGCTTCTTCTGCTAATTATACATGGCATGCTATAGACAAGGAGCTTGTGGGATGGAATATAAAAATGGTTTAAATTAACAAGGCACAGACGGAATGCCAAATTCCTCAAAAATGATCAGCGCTTTTGCCCCGAGTCATAATGCGGATGGGCTGCCAAATTCTCATCCCTACATGTGGCCAATCACCAGTATCTGTTTAAGAAGGAATAATTAGTGAAATGGTATAATGAAGTCTGTCATTTTTTAGCAGACTGAATTAGACTGATTAACTCATTATAAGCCACCCATAGCAAATCTGTCATCTGGAGTAATAGTAACAATCACACATGCCACTCTTTCATTTAAAAAAATTGAGGCCAGAATAAAAGCAACTGTTGTACCTGTAGGAAGAGCGAAAGGGATACATTGATGGTACTAATTCAAATGCTGTAAAATGATGATGATGATGATGATGATGATGATGATGATGATTATATTACTATTACTATTATTATTATTATTATAGGAAAAAGCTCAACAACTTTGCTGGATTTTCACTTTGTAGTCATTCGCCCACCAGTACCTTCTACAGCACCCACAAATGGTCCAAGTAAACAACCTCTCAAACACTCACAATGCTCTTCCTGTTTGGACTTGCCTACATTGAATACGGGAAGTGGGTGGCATTGTGGTCTAAACCACAGAGCCTAGGGCTTGCTGATCAGAAGGTCAACGGTTCGAATCCCCACAACAGAGTGAGCTCCTGTTGCTCAGTCCCTGCTCCTGCCAACCTACGTAGCAGTTCGAAAGCACGTCAAAGTGCAAGTAGATAAATAGGTACGTTTCCGCGCACTGCTCTGGTTTCGCCAGAAGCAGCTTAGTCATGCTGGCCACATGACCCGGAAGCTGTACGCCGCCTCCCTCAGCCAATAAAGTGAGATGAGCACCACAACCCCAGAGTCGTCCGTGACTGGACCTAAGGTCAGGGGTCCCTTTACCTCTAACTTTACATTGAATACACCCCCTTAAACGTGCCCACATGTTGTTGGATGTCAGGACTAGGTGTCAACGTGGCCAGTGAAAAGCAAATAACTGAAAAACAAATAAGTTTAATGGGGGGGGGGGGAGAGACCAGTGGTCACAAGGGATGACAGAGAGCCAAAGATTCCCTATACCTGTTACAAACATTTTTTTATTTTTTATTTTTGCTGGTCTCAAACCACATCAGACTTCTCAGAACTTACAAATCTGTTATTTTTCAGTGTTAAGAATTGTCAGGGACTGGACTCCCCCAACCCACGGGTTTCTCTCATGCAGAGGGCTGGGACCCCTCAATATTCTGCGGCCTGAGGCGGGTCCTGCCGGGTCTCCCCAAGGCTACAATGGGCCCTCCCGGCAGCCGCAATGGGCCCTATCGAGCCTACCCACAGCCATGGCAGGCCCCATCAGGCCTTCCTGTGGCTGCGACAGACCCCCTCAAAGTTGGGCGGAACCCAGTGCCTGTGCTGTCATGTGTAGAGTATAGGTTCAGCTATTAACAGTGAAGCCTCAGAGATAACGGAGGAGGAAGGGAAGACCTGTCTGGAGTCCCAGCAGAGAGAAGCTGCTGGGGAGGAACTTGAGGGCCTGCTGAGCTGCAGGTTGTGCCTGACAACTGGAATTGCCGGAGGGATATTCACTGGGGGATGAGTGTGTGGTGTAACACCATGTTCCTAATAATCTTGTGATTGAGGCTATTCGTGTGTAGGAAGAGAGGGACCGGGTATGGATGCTGGACCTTTTGAACGGAAGCCCAGCGTTCATCAGACCAACCAATGCCATGCTTTCTGGCTAATTCATATAACCTACAACCCCCCATGGTAAGCTTATGTCATAAAACATTTAAAATGGTACCCCAGGTTAAGAACTTAATTTGTTCTGGAGGTCCGTTCTTAACCTGAAACTGTTCTTAACCTAAGGTAGCACTTTAGCTAATGGGGCTTCCCACTGCTGCCACACGGTTTCTGTTCTCATCCTGAACAAAGTACTTAACCCGAGGTACTATTTCTGGGTTAGCGGAGTCTGTAACCCGAAGTGTTTGTAACCTGAAGCATCTGTAACCCAAGGTACCACTGTATTAGTATTTAAGGTGTCACAAAAGACTTTGCTTTCTAAGTATGGTGAGTAATATCAGTAGGACCTCTCTCTGCTCCAACACTGGTATTTCCTTTTTTAAAAATTTTCTTTTGCTTTGTTGTTGTTTAGTCGTTTAGTTGTGTCTGACTCTTCGTGACCCCATGGACCAGAGCACACCAGGCACTTCTGTCTTCCACTGCCTCCCGCAGTTTGCTGAAACTCATGCTGGTAGCTTCGAGAACACTATCCAACCATCTCGTCCTCTGTCGTCCCCTTCTCCTTGTGCCCTCCATCTTTCCCAACATCAGGGTCTTTTCTAGGGAGTCTTCTCTTCTCATGAGGTGGCCAAAGTATTGGAGCCTCAGCTTCAGGATCTGTCCTTCCAGTGAGCACTCAGGGCTGATTTCCTTAAGAATGGATAGGTTTGATCTTCTTGCAGTCCATGGGACTCTCAAGAGTCTCCTCCAGCACCATACTGTAATTCAAAAGCATCAGTTCTTCGGCAATCAGCTTTCTTTATGGTCCAGCTTTCACTTCCATACATCACTACTGGTAAAACCATAGCTTTTACTATACGGATCTTTGTTGGCAAGGTGATGTCTCTACTTTTTAAGATGCTGTCTAGGTTTGTCATTGCTTTTCTCCCAAGAAGCAGGCGTCTTTTAATTTCGTGGCTGCTGTCACCATCTGCAGTGATCATGGACCCCAAGAAAGTAAAATCTCTCACTGCCTCCATTTCTTCCCCTTCTATTTGCCAGGAGGTGATGAGACCAGTGACCATGATCTTAGTTTTTTTCGATGTTGAGTTTCAGACCATATTTTGCGCTCTCCTCTTTCACCCTCAATAAAAGGTTCTTTAATTCCTCCTCACTTTCTGCCATCAAGGTTGTGTCATCTGCATATCTGAGGTTGTTGATATTTCTTCCAGCAATCTTAATTCCGGCTAGGGATTCATCCAGCCCAGCCTTTCGCATGATGAATTCTGCATATAAGTTAAATAAGCAGGGAGACAATATACAGCCTTGTCGTACTCCTTTCCCAATTTTGAACCAATCCTTTGTTCCATATCCAGTTCTAACTGTAGCTTCTTGTCCCACATAGAGATTTCTCAGGAGACAGATGAGGTGATCAGGCACTCCCATTTCTTTAAGAACTTGCCATAGTTTGCTGTGGTCGACACAGTCAAAGGCTTTTGCATAGTCAATGAAGCAAAAGTAGATGTCTTTCTGGAACTCTCTAGCTTTCTCCATAATCCAGCGCATGTTTGCAATTTGGTCTCTGGTTCCTCTGCCCCTTCGAAATCCAGCTTGCACTTCTGGGAGTTCTCGGTCCACATACTGCTTGAGCCTTCCTTGTAGAATTTTAAGCATAACCTTGCTAGCGTGTGAAATGAGTGCAATTGTGCGGTAGTTGGAGCATTCTTTGGCACTGCCCTTCTTTGGGATTGGGATGTAGACTGATCTTCTCCAATCCTCTGGCCACTGCTGAGTTTTCCAAACTTGTTGGCATATTGAGTGTAGCACCTTAACAGCATCATCTTTTAAAATTTTAAATAGTTCAGCTGGAATACCATCACTTCCACTGGCCTTGTTATTAGCAGTGCTTTCTAAGGCCCATTTGACTTCACTCTCCAGGATGTCTGGCTCAAGGTCAGCAACCACACTACATGGGGTGTACGAGCTATCCATATCTTTCTGGTATAATTCCTCTGTGTATTCTTGCCACCTCTTCTTGATGTCTTCTGCTTCTGTTAGGTCCTTACCACTTTTGTCCTTTATTATGGTAATCTTTGTACGAAATGTTCCTTTCATATCTCCAATTTTCTTGAACAGAAATGGTTCTTGAATGGTTCTTCCCATTCTGTTGTTTTCCTCTATTTCTTTGCATTGCTCGTTTAAGAAGGCCTTCTTGTCTCTCCTTGCTATTTTTTGGAAATCTGCATTCAATTTCCTGTATCTTTCACTATCTCCCTTGCATTTTGCTTTCCTTCTCTCCCCCGCTATTTGTAAGGCCTTGTTGGACAGGCACTTTGCTTTCTTGAATTTCCTTTTCATTGGGATGGTTTTCATTGCTGCCTCCTGTATAATGTTGCGGGCCTCCGTCCATAGTTCTTCAGGCACTCTGTCCAGCAAATCGAAATCCTTAAACCTGTTCCTCACTTCCACTGTGTATTCATAAGGGATTTGATTTAGATAGTATCTTACCGGCCCAGTGGTTTTTCCTACTTCCTTCAGTTTAAGCTTGAATTTTGCTATAAGAAGCTGATGATCTGAGCCACAGTCACCTCCAGGTCTTGTTTTTGCTGACTGTATAGAGCTTCTCCATCTTTGGCTGCAGATAATATAATCAATCTGATTTCGATGCTGCCCATCTGGTGATGTCCATGTGTAGAGTCGTCTCTTGTGTTGCTGGAAAAGCGTGTTTGTGATGACCAGCTTGTTCTCTTGACAGAACTCTATTAGCCTTTGCCCTGCTTCGTTTTGATCTCCAAGGCCAAACTTGCCAGTTGTTCCTTTTATCTCCAATCCCCAATAATGAGAAGAACATCCTTCTTTGGTGTCACTTCTATAAGGTGTTGTAAGTCTTCATAGAACTGGTCGATTTCAGTTTCTTCAGCACCAGTAGTTGGTGCATAAACTTGGATTACTGTGATTTTAAAAGGTCTGCCTTGGATTCGTATTGAGATCATTCTATCATTTTTGAGATTGCATCCCAGTACAGCTCTCGCCACTCTTTTGTTGATTATGAGGGCCACTCCATTTCTTTTACGGGTTTCTTGCCCACAGTAGCAGATATGATGGTCATCCGAATTGAATTTGCCCATTCCTGTCCATTTTAGTTCACTGATGCCCAGGATGTCAATATTTATTCTTGCCATCTCATTTTTTACCACATCCAACTTACCCAGGTTCATGGTTCTTACATTCCAGGTTCCTATGCAATATTTTTCTTTACAGCATTGGACTTTCCTTTCGCATCCAGGCATATCCGCAACTGAGCATTCTTTCAGCTTTGGCCCAGCCGCTTCATCAGCTCTGAATATACTTGTACTTGTCCTCCACTCTTCCTCAGTAGCATGTTGGACGCCTTCCTACCTGAGGGGCTCATCTTCCAGCGTCATAACTTTTATATGCCTGTTGTCTTTGTCCAGGGAGTTTTCTTGGCAGGGATACTGGAGTGGCTTGCCGGTTCCTGCTCCAGGGGGATCACGTTTGGTCAAAACTCTCCACTATGACCTGTTCATCTTGAGTGGCCCTGCACAGCATACTTCATAGCCTTATTCAAGCCCCTTCGCCACGGCAAGGCAGTAATCCATGAAGGGATCTTTTGCTTTATTTATACATTAAAAGTTACATGCAATGAAACGCATCAATCTATTAAAAAGAAAAAAGACAGAAAGAAAGAACATTCAACTAATAATCTTGTAAAATACATACAGTGATTTAAGGAATACAAACCGTCACCAACATTATTATAAACAAATATTACCACTGCTATTTCCATACTGCTGCCCTTCCACTCCATCTCTGTTCATCTATCTCTCTCTCTCTCTCTCTCTCTCTCTCTCTCTCTCGTTTTATGGTTACATAACATGGACCAAGTAATATTTCCCAAGAGTATTTCGGCATCATTTACTGTCCTTTACAAGTAATTACTATAAAAATATGCTATCATGCATCCTGAAGCACTCCCAAGAGAGATAAACTATAAAGTAGAAGCAAGGCAAACATTCTTTTGATAACTTTTTTTTTTTTTGCTTTAAATCAGAGAGCTGAGTGGGAGGAGAAGGGTTTTGTGCTCATCCCAATTTAGTTATTTTTTTCCACTCCTGAAGCCTGTTTACGTGGTCCTAGCAGTGGCAGCATTCAACTGGGCTGTCTCAAAAGATCTTGCTGCCCGAGACAGAGTAGCAAAGAGGACACGGTGTGTAGTACCCAAGGCCGGTCAAGTTATTTTGACAGCACAAAAGCCCCACAAACACCTCTTCCAATCCTTGGCGTGCTTTCGAATTGCTAGGTTGGCAGGAGCTGGGACCGAGCAATGGGAGCTCAACCCATTGCGGGTTGACAATTCAGCACACCTGAGGTATCTTAACAATTTAACTAATTAGCAGGGGGAGTTTACCTACTGCATTGAATGCAGCAATGTGATAGGGTAATTGATTATTTGAAAACTGCATTGAAGTTGATCAAGTGGTAGTGTTTACTGTTATAGAATACTGTTAGGGAATGCTGTCGAGTACTGTTGAAGAAAGGTGGTGAGAAGGGGTGTTTTGCAGCTGTTTGATTATTATTTAAAAATAAAGATAAGCAAAGATATTGCGGGCAAGCTTTTATCCCATCGCCCCAGTCGCTGCACAAACTTGGCTGGCAAAGAAGGTCTAACAATCTCACGGAAGAAAGCACACTTATCTGTGAAAAGTGGTCTGTGTCCTGGTATCTCAGAAAGCTGTGGTTGCTGAGAGGAAGAGGGCAGGACAGAGCATATAGAGTCCATTCCAGAAGTGGGTCACCAAGTCATGCAGAGTCACTACGATAGCTTCCCAGCAGGGTGAGGAATAAGGTGGTGGGAAGGTCAGAGTAGTGCAAACGCACCAGCAGAGCCAATCTGCTGCTCCTGCTGGTGGATTTGCACCAAACTGAGCTCCTTGGCACTTTGACCCTCTCCCTTCAGGTAAGCAACAGCAACCCACCTGCCAGGAATCTAGCCTAGTGACTCTGCCCCAGCCACCTGTGGTCCATCCCAATCACAGGCACATTTGTGAATCTAAAACAACGGCAATGTTGATATTGTAACACACACAACGTGTGTCAGTATTTCATTCTCTCATTGCTGGATCATGTGATCCTCTGTTGACATTCCTTACTATCGTAAGTGTGGGAACGGAACTCAGACTTGAGAACTTCCGTTTTCTTTGTTCTCTTCTCTCCGAAGAGAGGGTGTGTGTGAGAGATGCTGTTCACACTAGCCATGTTATTTTGTTTTAATTGTTTTAATGGTGACCGGGAGTGGCCGCCGGGACCACATAACACCGGTTCTGAGAGATCTGCATTGGCTCCCAGTACGTTTCCGAGCACAATTCAAAGTGTTGGTGCTGACCTTTAAAGCCCAGATGGCCTCGGTCCAGTATACCTGAAGGAGCATCTCCACCCCCATTGTTCAGCCTGAGATCCAGCGCCAAGATCCAGCTGAGATCCAGCACCAAGGGCCTTCTGCGGTTCCCTCATTGCAAGAAGTAAGGTTACAGGGAACCAGCCAGAGGGCCTTCTCAGTAGTGGCGCCCACCCTGTAGAACACCCTCCCTTTAGATGTGAAGGAAATAAGTAGCTATCCTATTTTTAAAAGACATCTGAAGGCAGCCCTGTTCAGGGAAGTTTTTAATATTTAACGCTGTATTGTTTTTAATACTTGATTGGGAGCTGCCCAGAGTGGCTCAGCCAGATGGGCGGGGTATAAATAATAAATTATTATTATTATCATCATCATCATCATCATCATCATCATCATCATTATTAATTTGCTGTAAATAATAAAGTAATTCCTAAACAGTCTGGCTTTCTGCTGAACTCTGCTAACGCGTGCACACAGCTCCATTGGATGTGTGTCGCAGATGTCGTACAGGACGGCTCCCAGAGGAGATGTACGGAAATCATGCACCATGCATTGTAGCCAATGCGTTGGCCTAAGTTTTCAAGGAACAATTGAAGGGGGTGTCGCAAAAACACAAATTCTGGGTCCCCTCCATTTGAATTCTGAAAGGTTCAAATAAAAGTTCCAGCTCCTGGGTTTAAGTTCAAAATAAACGCATGGGGAAATTGTCAACGTCTAAAGAACTTCTAACATTTATGGCCAAGAGAAATGCTCAGAGCCAAGCTTTCTTCGCTTTAGCTGTCCTCCATTGAACCACAAACCACATGGAGTAATTTACAGTACAGGAGGCTGGCAGGGTGGGAAAGGAGGCTACTGCAATCAGGCTGTACGTAAGCAACCTCTAGCAGCAGGATTCTGCAGAATTATGGCCATTAAGCTTAATTGCAATGTTCCGTTTCAGCAATTAATTTCTACACTTTGATAGCAGTTAATTTTATTTTTAATTTTTTTATTTTTGCTGGAGGTGGGAGCAAAACTTTTACAAATGATGATCCATCACTGAGACATATCCTGAGAGGGTTTTTTGGGTTTTTTGTTTTAATGAGAATACCCTAGGCTCACCTTTCGATATTGCACCTGATAAATTATTCCGGGACGATTTCATCTCCTTTTATAATGGCAGCTGCTGTCACAGAGGATGGAAAAATGGTCCTTGGCGTCATTTATGTTACTATAGCAATTAGTCTGGATGGAGGGCATCCTTTAAACCAGATGTCATCGCACGCTGCCGGCAGGTCCCAAAGCACCTGCCAGCATCTCCTGTAGCACCTGCAAAAGGTCTCAGCAAGTATCACCTCAAAAAACCCCACAATATATGAGAGCCTGTTTGCTATTCCAGCTCTTCTCCATTTACATTGGTTCAGCCTCCCTTACAATGAACGTGGGCCCTTAAATATGCCTGCATTTCATTGGCTAAGAGGATGGTATGTCCACTATCCCAAATATTCTTATTGCTGTGTTTTTGCTCCATAAGACACACCTAGTTTTTAGAGGGGGAAAAAATTCTGAACGAAACAGTGGATGTATGATTTTTGTGGTTCATGCTATGGCCACAGACATGTAATCTGATGGTGAATTTGGGGTGACCCAATGCAAAAATCCTGAGGATCCATGTGGAGCCGTGCTTTGTAACCACGTTTTTGCACCGTTGTGGCCCCACACAACAGTGGATGTGTGATTTTTTTGGTGCAGGCTGTAGCCACGGACATGCTATGTGATCTGATGGTGAATTTGGGGTGACCCAATGTAAAAATCCTGAGGATCCATGGGCTTTTACCTCCCCCTTCCCAGGCAGCCACCTTTATCGCTAGCGTCCCTTATCTCTCTCCCTGATCGACAAACGATCAGCGGCTTTGTTTCAACACCCCCTGCCCTCTTCCAAAAAAACAAAAGCATGATCTGCTTTTTGCCCCCGGGCAATTCAGCTCCAGGGACCACACATTCGCTCCATAAGATGCACAGACATTTCGCCTTACTTTTTAGGAAGAATAAAGTGTGTCTTATGGAGCAAAAATACGGTATATATTAGAATTTATATACCACCCTATACCCAGAGGACTCAGGACGGTTCACAGAACAAAATCAAAATATAAAACCACAAAATATATAATAAAAATAAAAACAACAGCCCAATAACACCCCACCCGACAAACCACATTTTAAAAGGGCATAGGGTGTCAATCAAATCAACCAAAGGCCTGGTTAAAAAGGAACATTTTTGCTTGGCACCTAAAGGTGTGTAAGGAAGGTGCCAGGTGAACTTCCTTGGGGAGAGCATGCCACAGACCGGGAGCCACTGCAGAGAAAGCCCCGTTCTCCTGTTGCCACCCTCCGGACCTCTCGAGGAGGAGGTACACGAAGAAGGGCCTCAGAAGATGATCTCAGGGTCCAGGTAGGTTCATAGGGAAAGGGGAGGTCCTTGAGGTATGATGTGGGTTCCCTTTTCCCCATTGATGGGTTGGCTAAAGAAGGGAGCATCCCCACACCATTTTTCTGTCTCATTTTTTGTTCTTTAAAATGTGACAGCCATGTTGTCATATGGTATTCCCCCATGGCCGCCATGTCATGATTGGCACCAATGATATTTTCTCAAAATTTATCCATTGGCTCCCAAAGGCAGGCAATCCTGGCTTCGTCTCTGGATTCACAGTGAACCTCCAAACCCCAAACTCTACACTCCCTGCTTTGCGAAAGAAAAATAATATGACAACCAGGATCGACATTGCCGTATGTCTCATTCCAATGCCCCCATTGATCAATCCTATTTTAATCAAGAAACATTTGATTTCTGTCATGATAAAACTAGTTTTTAAGAAGCCAGCAAGAATGAGCAAATTATGGAGGCTGCTTTTCTAGCAAACACATCTAAGATGCCACCCAGAGCAAACAGAACTTGTGAAGTCAGCTTTGTCCAAAGCCTTGGCTGAGTGTGATTTTTTGAAGACTCCAAGGGACAGAATTTGGCAGGCCTCCCTAGACACCACCTCTGTGGTGCAGTAGATCAGCATGTTGGGCTGTTAAACAGAAGCTTGGTGGTTCAAGTCCACCCAGGGACAGCTGTGGGCAAGATTCCTGCATTTCAGGGTATTGTAGCAGATGACACTCAGGGAACCTTCCAAATCTACAATTATATGATTGTATAAGAGAAGGCATTCAATTATTTTGTTGCCAGTTTTACCTTCCAGTTTTAATCTAAAAGGCCTTTAATTTCTAGGGTCTTCCCAGATTGTCTTAATTAGCAGAAGCTTTGTATGTGAGGAGGCACAATATTTATCACTGCGACAAAACTCAAATGGATTTCTTTGTCATCCTGCCTATGGGGATGTTTATTAGCCGTTCCAAAGCATTTGCCAAGGTTAACTAACAACTGTAACGGTTCCTTAAAGAGATGTCTGCTTTGCAGCCAGGTACAGCTTTAGAAACGATTGCTTGGGAATATCCTATGGGTTATATAACTAACACACGAAGCCACAGGCTCACTTTGCCTTAGGCGCCAGGTAGAAAAGAAGGCAACTGTCAGCAGAGAAATCCCATTCATTAGAGCATGAATGGGATGTTGACTACTGAAATATTCACAAGCTGGAGAATGTCCTAGGTGGCTGTGAACCAGAATAATTGCAAACTCATCCAGCTTTACAAAACCTCTCCCTCAGTGGCTTATTACTCTTCTTTTCCTAGTACTTATAAATAGTAGGCAAACATTGGACAGGTGAAACTACACACACACACACACACACACACACACACACACACTCTTGATGAAGAATCACTATTATAAGTATACACACACACACACACACACACACACACACACACACACATTACAGTTGCTTGTGCTCTCCATGTAACTATGCCAGGACTGCATTATCACACAACTGAAAACTCAGTCCAGGCCACAGAGGCAACCAAATGCATATCAGTGGCTACTGATTATGTAGGCTATATGTAACCTCAGGATCATCAGGGACTGAGGAGGAACAGGATGTTGGGATACTGCTGGGGAGATGGGGGCATCAGGAAGGCCCACAGCTGGCTCCAGCCACCGGCCGGCCGATCACTGGTCTCCCTTGGAACAGCATCAATCAGTGACACGAGCCTCAGATACATTTAGAGACCCGTGCACTCAGCAGAGTGTGTAAATCTTCTCACAGCAGAAGAGGCAGACAGAGCCATGTGTAATCAGTATATTACAGCATTTTATTCAGCAGCAGGAACAAAGGAAAAAACATGTCTGCTTCCCTTCATGTCCAGCAAAACAGCAATACAAAAGCTATATACAAACGGAAGTTCCCAGCAAGCGCTGGAAGTAAACAGGCAGGTGACACACAACAGTCATGCCTGTTCCCTTTTAAGGTGGAACGGAACTATATCCTAACACAGGAAGGGCTGTGGGACCTCCTCAATCTACCATTGCACATGTGCCTTCCATGGCAAGGAGCATCTCCTGTCAGCTTCAGTTGGTCAACCAACTATTATAGTTTCTCAGCAGGGACAGTCTGACCCATGTGCTGGTAACCTCAAAATTGGACTACTGCAATGCGCTCTCTAGGGTCCTTTGAAGGTGGCCTGAAAGCAATAGCTTGTGCAGAATGCTGTGGCTAGGCTGTCATTCGGATCAGTTGGCATCTGTCTGTCTCAAGTGACACCCGCCTCCGGGGGTGAAGTCAAACTGCTGTGTTGGGGCGCCAAACTGACCTCCCTTGGGTGCAAGCCAGGGCAGTGTGTATGGAGGTCCTGGGCTGCCCAGATGACAAGACTTCAATCTTGGTCTTGCTGATGTAGTCCAAAGAAAAGCAGAGCAATAGGTTTGGCACCAGTTTGGCTGCAGGAGTCGCTGGAAGGAGCCGCCCAAGCAGCCATCTTGGGGGCTCCACTCGGGGACTCCGGGTTTGTGTAGGGTTTACTCCTTAACATTTTCTTCTCCCAAAGATATATCGCAAGGCTGCATAGGTTTAGGATTCGTTTTCCTTCTCCTAGATGGGCTACCTTCCCAAGTTGATGAGCACTATCTGCCCCTCACTTCTTGCCACAGGACGTTCAGAAGCCATCTTCATGATCATCAGACCCACTCCTGGTCTTGTCCACTCAATCCACCAGAGTGTGGTTAGGGGAAGTCCCTAACTCACCAAGGGTTTGAGGCCCATCAGCTACCCTCACCTGGTTTAGCCAGACAGTTGAAGCCGTTCTCGGGGTGTGGCTGCTATTGCATGCTGATAGCTTCTCAGAGGCACAGGTGAGAGCCGACTGCAGTTGGGGACCAACGGTGGATGTACTACCCCAGGAGGAGCACAATGTGTCCCCCACCAGAGGTCCCCTAACATCCCATACATCCCTGTGGAACAGTACTCCTGTGTTAAAGGAACCCCACAGATTTCCAGATACATACAGAGCACTAAACAGTTTAGGGTTTAGATACTTGATGGGCCACCCATTTCCATACTAACCTGCCTACACATTAAGACCTGTTGGGGGCTGCCCACCTGTCAGTGCCACACTTAACAGGGATTTGATACATGGTGACACAGGAGAAGGCATTCTTAGTACAGTAGGGCTACCACCAGCTCTTATGAGTTTTTGGCACTGGCTGAAGACTTATCTATTTGCCCAGGCCTCTGACAGTGACCTGTTGAATCTACTTCTTCCTAGTTTCATTTCCCATCATGCTGTGTTTTCTTTATATTGCTGTTTTACAATGTTCTTGTTTTAAAGTTTGTTGCAACCCTCCCTGGAACAACTATTAATAATTAAGAGGAGGTAAGCAGTATTTTAAAATAAAATAAATACTGGTTACTTTACTTTTTTTTGGCATCATGTTCGTGTCAAATTTTGCAGTGAATTCTACCATTTTAATGTGGCATCCGGCTGTTTGCAGAAAATACATGAGATGTCTCTAACACAGACATACTAAGATCAATGTTAGCCTGAGGTCTATATTAATGGATGTCTACAGCAACATTAAGCAATCATATTTCCCAGAGACTTCAGCTTGAAATCATGCCATGCCTATGGAATTAGCATTTTGTTTTCCACATCTGTCATGATGGCAAGATCCCCTCCAGACAATATTCATTGGAGGCACATAGATATTCCTCATGTGGGGCCCAATTTAAACATAACAGCGGGGGTGTGCAGATTTTTTTTACCCACAGGGCATTCCATGTAGACAGCATCTCATTGAAACTGAGCCACCTGGCTTGCAGTGGTAGCAGGCCAGAGATCCATGGTTCTGTCTATGATTGAACTTAACCACTGAGGGCTTGTCCTTTATGACATTTTTACTACATAGATGTCAAGGAGCTGTCAAGCAAGCCCAGGTCAACGGCAGAGCGGGGAAGCACAAGAGGCGCGGAATGCAATTGGCTTTTTATTAACAGAAAATAACAACACACTACTGTAGAGTCCTCTGGTTCGTCTTAAACCAGCTGAGACATTGCTGAAACTGACCAAAAGCCCTGCCCTGCCCTCCCTAGTCTTTCACTCTGGATCCCTCCAAGCAGACAAAGGCTGAGTCGAGGGGATGGGGTCCTCCTCAGGACTCTCCTCAAGCAGGTGTTAAAGGGGGAGGAGCCAGCAGGACTGGGACTGTCTGTCACAGTCTGGTCTATGGGCAATCGGAGTTCCGGCTGAGGATGTCGGGACTGGGGGCAAGATGGCGGGGTGGGAGCAAGAACGAGAGTCCAGAAGCCAGGGGTCTGAGGGTCACGAAGTCAAGGGTCTGAGGGTTGAGAAGCAAGGAGTCACAAGTCAAGGGTCCGAGGGTCGAGAAGCAAGGAGTCACGAAGTCAAGGGTCTGAGGGTCAAGAAGCAAGGAGTCAAGAAGCCGAGGTCCGAGGATCAGGAAGCAAGAAGCCAAATGCACCAAGGCAGGAAACGTGTTGCTGTGGCAAAGAGCCAAAGGGAAATGCTGACCTTATATCCCTTCCCGACTCTTGCCACCAGGTACAGTGAGTTATCAAGCGGCCTCACCTGTGCGGCCACACCTTGCCTCTCCAGAACAAGCTTAGGAAGGCCCCAGTCCTGCGAAGCCCTACTGGTCACAGGGCCTGGCTCCTGCACGCACTCCTGACACTGTCCTGCTGCTGCGTAGCAAGGGCAACCTCTGACTCCTCTCTGTCTGAGTCTGCGCTCACACCATGACGCTCAGCCTCTAACCCTCCTTCTCCTGACCCCTCTTGATCACTCAAACCTCCTGCTTCTAGCAGCTCCCAGCTTGTACCTTCTGCAGACTGCTCTTCAGTGTCCCACCACCACGATCTGGGATCTAAGTCTTCTTCATCCTTGGGGGCACGGGATCTAGGGTGGGTGGCTCCCACCACTCTTCCTCATCCAGCCAGTCCCTGACAATAGACTTCTTTTGTATATGCCCAGTATGTCCCATTCCAGGTGCAGATTATAGGCAAGGTCATAGAGCAGAGTGGGAATTCAGGCCAACAGCAGGACTCTGGGCAGAAGGACTTTGGAGAGCAGTCAGGCAAAGCCAAAGAATTTTCTGACGGTAAGAGCTATTTGATAGTGGAAAGGTAGTGGGCTCTCTTTCACTGGAGGTTTTTAAGCAAAGGTTGGATGGCCGTCTGCCATGGATGCTTTAGTTGAGATTCCTGCATTGCAGGGGGTTGAATTTGATGACCTTCCATATATATATATATATATATAATTGAAATTTTCAACTTAACAATTTATTCAACACATATCCTCTTTTTTATTCCCCCCCCTATTTTTCCCTCCCCCCTCCCCAGAAAAAGAAAAATAACCCACCCTCCCACACACCCCTCCAGAGACTTCCCTCAGCTCCTCTCCCTGGTTTTTCAGCACATGTTAATCTCTGCATATTATTAAATTGTAAAGATCTTTAATTTATCTATTTGTATGTTACCCATTGGTGCTGGAGGAGACTCTTGAGAGTCCCATGGACTGCAAGAAGATCAAACCTATCCATTCTGAAGGAAATCAGCCCTGAGTGCTCACTGGAAGGACAGATCCTGAAGCTGAGGCTCCAATATTTTGGCCACCTTATGAGAAGAGAAGACTCCCTGGAAAAGACCCTGATGTTGGGAAAGATGGAGGGCACAAGGAGAAGGGGACGACAGAGGACGAGATGGTTGGACAGTGTTCTCGAAGCTACCAGCATGAGTTTGACCAAACTGCAGGAGGCAGTGGAAGACAGGAGTGCCTGGTGTGCTCTGGTCCAGGGGGTCACGAAGAGTCGGACACGACTAAACGAATAAACAACAACAACATGTTACCCATAATAAATTTGTGTATGTTTATTCAAAACCTGCCAAGGAGTCCAGTTCATATTGTTGTTTCTTTAAGTACTTTATAAAAGGTCCCCATTCTTCTTTAAAGTCACAGTTGTCCTTATCACGTAGTTTATGTGTCAGTTCCGCCAATTCCGCATAGTCCATCAGTTTCTCTTGCCATGGTTCTTTGGTCGGGATTTCTTCATTCTTCCATCCCTGTGCTATTAAGACTCTTGCCGCCGTTGTCGCATACATGAAAATGTTTTTCAGTTTCCTTGGCAGGTCTTTTCCTACAATCCCTAACAAAAAGGCTTAAAAAAGGTTTTTTTTTTGTACAAATGTTAATTGGAACATTTTCTTCAACTCATTATATATCATTTCCCAGAATTTTTTTAATTTTACAACAATCCCACCACATATGGTAAAAGGTCCCTTCTTTTTCCTTACATTTCCAGCATATATTTGAAGTTTGCCTTCTCACTCACTCAAATTGCTTCGAATTTGATAACCTTCCTTTCCAGCTCTACAGGTCTATGATTCTAGTTTCTTCCACAGCGACTGGGGAATCCCATGGCTACAGGGCACCAGAAAAAGGAAGAGAGAGTGAGTGAGAAGGTAGACTAGCAGGTGGGTGACCAGAGAGGCCCACTGATGGAGAAGAATGTCCACTGGAGGAAGTACTTGGAGAAAGCCGGACCTGATTATGAATTGCTGAGTCCTGTCATGTCTTGGTACATATACAGTGGTACCTCGGGTTAAGAACTTCATTCGTTCTGAAGGTCCGTTCTTAACCTGAAACTGTTCTTAACCTGAAGCACCACTTTAGCTAATGGGGCCTCCTACTGCACAATTTCTGTTCTCATCCTGAAGCAAAGTTCTTAACCCGAGGTACTATTTCTGGGTTAGCGGAGTCTGTAACCTGAAGCGTATGTAACCCGAGGTACCACTGTACAGTCATACCTCATGTTACGTTTGCTTCATGTTACGTTTTTTCAGGTTGTGTCCTGTGGCGACCTGGAAGTACCGGAAAGGGTTACTTCCGGGTTTTCGCCACTCACACATGCACACAAGCGTCAAATCATACTGCGCAGATACGCTCTTCAGGTTGTGCACTTTTCATGTTGCAAACATGCCTCCGGAACAGATCCCATTCGCAACCAGAGGTACCACTGTACACTGGTTCGTTAACGTTAAAACGACCCTGTCTTTTTCTGTCTATTACAGATCCCATTTTGAAGTATTTGGAAACAGAAGCCTTCTCTTACCACATGGCTGTAATAGCAGGTTGAAATCTAATAAACTCGGGGTCTTTTGAAGTGAGTTGTTCAAAACGGCATGTCTGATTCACTATATTTGTCGACCCCACCATAGGTAATCAGAATACGCTATATATATATAAAAAAAGAAAATGGGTCATAGAAATCGATATTGAAGTACGTGGCTGGAAAAGAACAGGTGTATAAGCGAACAATTGAGGAATAAAACTGCCACAGAAAGAGTCTCTTTCTGACTCTGCTGGATGTCTGATGTTCCCCCCGAAGATCAGAGTTACATAACTAAACGGCATTTTGAACAAGGGAGTGGGGGTTAATTCTATGTAAGATGGGGACATGCCTGTGTTGCAGTTCAGAACTGAAAGAGGCACAAAAATGTTTGCAGTAGAAACTGGGGGCAAGGGAATGACTGCTTGTTTAAAATGTGAATCTGTGTGAATCTCTGTAATGAAAATGTACAGAACTATATGTTAATTATTTATCTATTTTTCTCAACAAAGGCTTATTACCCTTAGCATTCAAAGTGAGACCATTATTTACGGATAATCATTATCCTACAGCCTGGAATTAAAATTCCAATTCTTTTCTAGCTTTCATGACTTTTCCTGCCTGGTTACCTGGAAATGAATTTTAACTCACCTCAGGTGGCTAGTGTAAGAGCTAGTACATGTCTGGCATAAGGTTACACCATCGCCTTAATTTTTTCCCCCATTTTCTTCTTTTACATACATTTAACAAAGAAAAACAAGTGTATACAAAAAACCCCTCACTACATTTCCATCAACTTCCCTCCCCTCCTTGCTGCGGTTACATATTTTATATCTTTCCTCTACTACATATCAAATTTATATCTAAATCCTAACATCTAATACTTCTTTTTTAAAATTGTCTCTAACTACACCAGTTTATATCAACCCTGCTAATGTTTTAAGCTCTTTACAGTGTATCTTCAAATAGTTCGTAAATTGTGTCCACTCAGTCATAAAAAGTCTCTCTTCTTGATTTCTCATTCTTCCAGAAGTTTCGCCATTTCTGCATATTCCATCAATTTTAATTGCCAATCTTCTTCTGTTGGAAAAGGCTACACCATCTCCTTAACAGGATAGGTGATCAATGCGTCATAAGAATGATGACAAAAATGTATTTGGTACCTTTTGCCAAGCAACACAGGAATGGGCCACTTTTGAGTTGGAGAAGGATGATTTATTTATTTATTTATTTCTAGCCCAACTTATATCCCAACCTAAACAAATAATTTATTTATTTATTTATATCCCAACAATTATTTTCCAGAATTGGAGCTCAACATGGCTCACATACATTAAAACAAACACACATTACAGAGAGGCAGCCCTGTCTATGGCAATGTCAGCGAGAGGAAACAAATGATAGATAGATGATAGATAGATAGATAGATAGATAGATAGATAGATAGATAGATAGAGTGGTACCTCAGGCTACATATGCTTCAGGTTACAGACTCCGCTAACCCAGAAATAGTACCTCAGGTTAAGAACTTTGCTTCAGGATGAGAACAGAAATCGTGGTGCGGCGGCAGCAGGAGGCCCCATTAGCTAAAGTGGTGCTTCAGGTTAAGAACAGTTTCAGGTTAAGAACGGACCTCCGGAACGAATTAAGTACTTAATGAATTAAGTACCTGAGGTACCACTGTATATATATATATACATATATATGTGTGTGTGTGTGTGTGTGTGTATACACACACACACACACACACTGTGTAATGCCTGGTTGCTCGTGGATAATTTGGTCAAAAGGAAAGCCAGGAGCTATCTGCATAGAAAGGTAGTTCAAGCAAATCAAAACAGCTCTACTTAATCAGTCCTTCTGAAACTACAAAAGAAACAGTGTGATCCTCCTTCAACATACTGCACAAGGGACAACAAGGGAGTCAGAAGTGTATGGAGAGAGTGGTTCAAATTGGTTTGTGAAGGCATTCAGCAATCAATCACATGGAAGAACCCTGGCAGGGTTTGTTTCATCCATATGCAACAAAAGGCATGTAGGGGTGACAGTCAGCAGACTGAATTCTGAAACAGAATTGAATGACAAATATCTATCCTTGCTGGCGTTTGGTCAGAGGTGCTGAAATCCAAAAGCCTTCGTTGTCTGTTTTAATATGGTCTCTGTAAACATAGTTGCCAAAATAAATACTTCTGCTGTGTTTGTGTTTGTGTGTGTGTGAATTTCATGCGCCTTCACACATACATGTCAGATGTTAATCCCCCAAGCAATTTAAAAAATGGACAGCTTTGATAATGTCACATTTGACAATTAGGATTCAATTAATATAATTTAGCACATCTACTCTTCAAACTGTTTTCCCCTTCCTTCCTTCCTTCCTTCCTTCCTTCTCCCCCATCCCCCTTAATCTTTTTTTTTTAAATCAGCTTGACTAATGCCAAGATTTTATGGTTGGGAAAGGAGTGGAATTAAAAAGAAATGCCATCTGTGGACTGTAGGGAGAAGGGGTGACATTGTGAAATAAGAAAATACCTTTTTTTAAAAAACAAGGATTGGCTGGGTCATCCACAATATATACCATTTATTCCCTTTCGCATACTATGTTCCTGTAAAATAATATAAATTTATATTAAAACAGAAAATAATGGTAAATATTTGAAAATATATTTTATGAACTTTTGGATATAATGATGATGATTGCATTCATAGTATTTTTATTTCATTTTTATATTGTTTTATATGTTTGAGGGGGAAAACCTCAAGGTGGTTTACAACCTACATTAAAACAGCAAATGAAACAATCCAGAATAAAGCATTGTTAATGAAAGTCAAGTGTACATCCCAAGCAACATAGTTAACATGAAACTAAAATATAACATATTTAAAACTGTATAACTGGCATGCATAATGGTGGATCATGGCAGCAGCTGTGGAAGCTCAGGCTCAGTGACCAAGATGGCCTCTGGCCTCTTCAGTAGCCTCAGTTTTTGTAGCTG